CCTTCCGAAACTATGCATTACTTGATTAATGAGCTATTCGGTTCGGTAAGTAAGATGTAGACATATAAAATTTTCATGATTCAATTCTTCTTTTTTGTAATTTAAACATTATATATTAATTAAATACATTAAACATAATATTAAATAATAATTAAACATATATATATATATAGCTGCAAACTTGTACTGTTGAGAAAAAAAACTTCTTACTAGCAGCAACATTAGATATCTTATTAAATCTTCAGTTGACATATTAAATCAATCTAGTAGACATACTAAATCTTCAATTTAAAATTTCGAAAAAAAAGCATTCCAATCTACCATGACAAATTAATAATTAAAAAATATGCAAATATGATCTATTTGTTAGCTCACTTAGCTCTTAAATTTTTAATTAGTTTAAGTATTAAAAAATATTTTTCATCGAACGTACAAGTTGGCAGGTGTGAAAAAATATAAGCATGTCAGAATTCTTAACACCTCCAAACATACTATAAAATTAAACCACTGTTCGTGAATATGAGAATTGAATAATATGATATAATTAAATAGTTAAGCAGCCTTGACATGAAAAAAGAGGAAATCGATGTAAATCTTGCAATGTATAAGTATATATATTACGAACAGCACATACCTGCCAAGATCAGAGAATTCGCTCACTTCAACAAGGTGCATTAATTCACCTTCATCTTCAGCTGGTTTGAGTTTTCGGGCTCGCTTAATCGAAACAACTTTCATTCCACTTACATTATGCGCTAAAATATAAATCTTGGGAGACGAAATTAGATTTAAATTTAAGAAGACGAAAGATAAATAGATCGCAGGCGTAGCGGACAATGATAAACAGCATCTTAACGGGTTGCGGTTCCGAGTGGTATATCGTAGATTTNAATTCACCTTCATCTTCAGCTGGTTTGAGTTTTCGGGCTCGCTTAATCGAAACAACTTTCATTCCACTTACATTATGCGCTAAGATATGAATCTTGGGAGACGAAATTAGATTTAAATTTAAGAAGACGAAAGATAAATAGATCGCAGGCGTAGCGGACAATGATAAACAGCATCTTAACGGGTTGCGGTTCCGAGTGGTATATCGTAGATTTCAGTATTTAGAGAAAACGATCGATGTCGTGACAAAAACACGATTACAATATTGATATCAAATACTGTCCGGGTGTTGTTCGAATATCTCTAAATTCATATTTTAAATTTATTTTTTTTGAATTATAACAATTTGACGTCATTTTCTGTCCTTTGAATGATTAATTTTGATTTAAGAACACAATAAAGTTTAAAATGAAAAGTATTACAGACTTTTAATGCTAAATGGACGGTAATCGTGCAATATCGTACACAATAGGTTGATTTTCGCCAATATTGACAATGTCGGTCGATGTAGACTAAAGCTGTTAAAATATCCCTGTGCTTCTTGGGTAGTATAACATAATATAAAAACGCAATAACATGATTTTCAATACATAAATTTTACAAATCTTTTACAGTATGGTTATATCCTAAATCCCCCCCCCCTCGACTGAAGTCGTAATCGGTGAAAAATTAGGACTATTAATGCCATCTATTAGGGAAATAGTGAATCCTAAAGTAGGTTTCACAAAATAGAAACGAGCTCACAAATACTGCACGTAGTAGTTGCCTGAACTGGATTCGGACGACAGCGGGTTAATAAGTTTATATATTAAATAATGTGGATTTATTAGATGAATTGATAATTTATTTCTTAATTTCGCTGTCAGTTATTAAACGCAATTAATAAAATTATTGTATTTTTGCCAAATCATTGTTGTTTTTTATGTTCCTAAATTTAAAGAGTGTAGTGTGAATAGAACTGTAGTAAAGAGTGTAGTGTGAATAGTGTAGTGTGTCATATAGAACTATTGCACTACAAAAATTAAATTCCAATTCACTAGTATGTAAGACATGTTATCTCGATTGTATGGTGGGGTACCTTTTCATAGATGAAGGTTGACATTGTCGATGTGACTCTCCCCACATTGGTGATCCGGACGTGATGTGAACACACCTACCTTGACAGAACCCCAATTTTGATTTGAACTTCGATGGATGATTCCCATTAAACAGTAGACTTGCTACTTGTGACTGCGACGTTATCCACCTTCTCACGCTGTTGCTACACAGTCTCGATCACACACAACGTCGGCCGGCATATACTCAACTGGAACACAGGAGCGATCACGACCATAAACTTAATACAGCTCACGATCAGCATTTAAAAGTACGGTGATCTTAATACTGCTCTCCCGGCTTCTCACAAAATAGCAATGAATCATCTAGTAGTATTCCGTTCATCGAATTCTTTCACAGCTATCTGTCTACCACTACAAAAATAAAATTCCAGTTCACTAGTATATAAGACATGTGGTGGGTTACCTTTAGACATGTGGTGGGGTACCTTTTCATAGATGAAGGTTGACATTGTCGATGTGACCCACAAAGAGTAATTACTTATGTTATTTTACTTATTAGGAAAAATATTTGATTTTTGTTTTCTTAAAAAACTTTTGCTGATAGAACAGTGGTTTCCAACCAATCAATGTTATATTTATTTAGATTTTGATTATTTCTTAACATGTTTTTAAAAAAAACTGCAAAAGCATATACAATTTTGATCTAAACTTCCATAAACTAATTGCTCAAGAGAAATAAGTGAATAATATTATAATTATGAGAAAAAGTAGAATATGAATGTACTCCTTGTTTAGGCCTTTAAATGCTTTTGTTAATTCTTGGCGCTTTAATTGACAAAATGCTGGTCATTTTCAACTTTTTTTAATTGAGACTCTTAAAAATAATGGAAAACGTATGGATGACACCTGTGATTGATTTTTTTTTCAAAAAGTTCAAGTTTTAAAAGCAATTTCTTCTCAACAAAGAATTCCGGAAATTCATTTTCAGATAATATGAAGGCGTCTTATGGTTAAGAACCACTGTGATTATTTGGAAAATACGGGAATCGTTTACGGAAAAATAGCGTTTAGTAATTTTTTTAAAAACAATAGCTGAAAAATTTGGATAAGCAAAATGATATTTTGACGGGACTATTTAACACTGTCTAGATTTTTGAAAAGAACTTACTTTTGTTTCAACTGACAGATTTAGATGAAGTTGAAAAATTCTTTTGAACTTTTGTTACTCTCAAATATAAAAAGTGATTGTTTGAAACCTTTTAATACTGTTAGATTTAATCAGCAACGCATTTATAGATTATTTGGGTTTCCTTTACGAAATCATTTAAAATAAAATGCCACTGAAAATGAAAATTGCATTTTAAAAAAATTCGTTTAATTAGGAAATAACCATTTTCAACGTTTAGAGCAATAGTTTTCATTTAAAAAGAAAATTCGTAATTCTTTCATTTATTTTCAACTCATTTAGAACTAACCAATGCGCAAATGTAACTGTTAGACATAATTAATTCCTCTTAATATTTTCATAATTAACTCCTTTATTTATAAAATCGAAGCTGAAGGACGCCATCAAGACAGAAAGTTATGTTGAAACATTTTTGCCATTGGCTTCCCCATTTCAATCGCTGAATATTTCATTTAGACAATTTAATACTTTCAGCCATACTCCAATCGATACTAACATTGTACAAATTAATAATTGATTCCGTAAATCATTCCTTAAAATCAAAATTAATTATTGAATTACATTATTATACAATAAATCATATAATGTTTCCCCACATGGGTAGTTAACCCTAAAGGAACTAACCTATAAACGATATGACTGTACATGTACACCATATTTAAAGGCTTTAAAATAAAATAAATGTTACTTAAGGGCTCCATTCTTACTTTATGTGATCACATAACATCATACAAAGAATTCTTTTTGAATTTAATAATCAAGTTAAAAGGAATTCAAAAATATAGTCAGTCCCCCCCCCCGTAAGAACACAAAACAATATTTGTATTCTATAACAGCACAAGTAAGTTACAAATTTTCTTCTACATGTAAAAATAAAACTTGTTTCAAATATAAACTAGATTTTCATTATTATCAACAAGATTAATACACGATTATTACATTATTATTAACAAGATTTTTCAGAATGGAAGATTAGCTATCGATTCATTACATATCGATTATAAGAGCGATCGATATCGATTATACGAGCGATCGATATCGATTATACGATTTGTTCCAAAGTGCAGTTTTAGAAAATAATCAAAATTCTTACATTTAAGGTGGTGGAAAAAAATTTTAAGATAATTTATTCAAATAATGTACTAAATCCAAGATAAATTTTAAATATACTATCTATGGACATAAAATCAAATGAAATTTATACTTACTGTCAAATTTACTAAAATAATAACAATTACAAATCCTGACACACACACACACACACACAAAATAATAATAATTATAATAAATAAGCAAATAAATAAATTTAAAAATTTACGAAAATCTAAAAACAAATTAACTTATAATACTGAGCTACTTTTTTAAATGACTCATTGCAGAATTGTTTTGTAAGTAAAAAAAAAATGTTTTTCAAATTACTTATTATTCTGACTGAGCATTTTACTCGGAGTAGAGAAAAATATTTTATTTCTGAAAATTAGATTATTAAAAGTATATTTAACGTTTTCCCCGTTGAGTTCGGTAACAAAATCTGTTAATCGTGGACAGGGTGCGTAGCGTTTTTAAAAAGTGCTTATTTCTAATTTGCATTTTGTAGCTTAAAGGCGCTTTTTTTATTCAGGGTTTGTAAAAAGTGCTTAATTTTCTTGTTTTAAAGAGATTTTTCTTTGCCCTGTCGATTGTCGTTATAAATTACAAAAAATGCATCATTTACGCAATTTTCTCTGCAATATTTATCAGAAACTAGTTATTTTTTCATTTTTATCTTAAGTTTTTCGAAAACGTTTTTGAATTTTATTGAATTTTATACTTACTATGATGATTTATGAAATCAAGTATTTAATTTGTGATGTTTCTAAACATTTTAGGTGATGAAGAGAATTTTTCTCAGTCCGAGATCTGCATGCTTCAAAGTAAGTTTCCTTGGTTTCAATAAGCTTTCTTTAACCCATTTTAGGCCAAGCATAGGAGTTTTATAAAACGTGGTATATCGAAATATGCTTACATAACATTCATTAAAACACAAAAAAGATTTCATGTATGAAAAATTACATTTTATATAAGAAATCTGCGTATAGGCATTCACCAAATCATTGAACAAACCATTTTGTTTTTTTATGAAATTTGTTTTATTTGCTTTTTTATTTACTGACTTGATATATATAATTGTAGTTCACTTGTAAGATTAAAGTAGCGGTATCTGATGATACATGTCGTAATTATCTTAAAAACAGCTTATAACAGTCATAAAAACAACATCTTTTATTACAATATTATAGATCTATTGATGGTGAGAATCGTAAATAAAGTTTGTAATAGAAGGATCCATCATAATCCATCATAAAAAAATGAATCTCAAAAGGAATAATTATACATTTTCAAAAAGCTTCATTTGTCAATAACCGTTTTAAGTTAAAAAATTTAAATAGTTTAAAAATTTCTCAACAGGATATTCAAATTTAATAATGTATGGATATCTTGAGAACCCTTGAAAACCGTAGAAATTAACGAAAAATATATGTTAATAAAATAATATTTCTTGAAATGATACGTTTGCGCACCGAAATAATAAAAACATATTTCGAAGATTTCTTTCATATTTTGCAATATTTTACTCTTTATCAGCGTTTAAAGTATTCACCTTTTTAAATAAACTTCTTTTAAGAATATCAAATTTGGGTTTGATTGGGGAATTCGTTTATAAAGTTTAAAAAAAAGGATCTGTCTTTAAAAAATGAAAACAATTTATCTGAATGATCGCTTATAAAAAGTCTTAAAAACAATTTAAAGATAAATGCGAAGAAATTTGTCAAAAAATCGCTTCAAATTTGTTTTATTTAATTCCTATCTGTTTCAATCCTCGATTTTACATGTTAACTTTTTTACTGGAAAAACTGCCTCATAAAAATTTTTTTGACCCCTTACAAAAAAATATTAAAAATTTTGGAGAAATGGTCTTAATAGATACTCCCAAATAAAGGACGCCTTTAATGAGAGGATATTCCAGCCATCTTATATTACAATATCTATCGATAGTGAGTTTGTAAGATTATAGTAGCGGTATCTGATGATACATGTCGTAATTATCTTAAAAACAGCTTATAACAGTCATAAAAACAACATCTTTTATTACAATATTATAGATCTATTGATGGTGAGAATCGTAAATAAAGTTTGTAATAAAAGGAATTAATCAGCGAGATTATAATAGCGGTATTTGATGATAAATGCAGCTGATCGTAATTGAAGAACATGTTGAGCGACATTTTATGGATTTTCCATTTTACGAATATCTGTTCAGAATTATGCATGTAACTCACCTGTTTGGCAGAATGACCGATTTTTAAAAAAATTAATCATACAATATTCTTAAACATACGGATATCAATGTTTTTAAAATGTCAATTAACATTCACTAATTTTTTTAAATATAGAAAAAAAATATCATGATATATATAGAACTTCTTGAATCTGTATAATAGTTATAATCTCTTCCAGATGCTCTACTTTTTTTTCCTGTCTCGAAACTTTCTTCCTTAGAAGACTTAATCAAATTTGATTATTTGCCCGACAACTCTGTATGTAGAAGAATTAAATGAATTTAGTTTCAATATAAAATCTTCATACATTTTAAAAACAACGTAAAAAACACACACGCAAAGGATATCATATGAAAAGTTCTATGTTCAAATTCAAAAATCTTGGAAAATCATAATTCATAGAAATTCCATTTTCAAAAGAGATAAAAAAGGAAATCTTAGCGTCAGAAAAAAATGCTGTTGCCTAGAGATGTTTTTCTGTTAACTAATAAAAGATCCGAGCTAACTGAAAATCATGAATGAAAAAGATTTTTATTGTGGTTGTTTAGCAACGGAGTTTTCACTTGTATATCCTTCGTTTAATCAGGGCTAAAGAGAATAGAAGGTCTAGTTCACTCCGCTCTTAGAGCTGAAGCTACGATTTCCCTCCTCATGACGTCGCTGTGTCCACAGATCTCGGAGATCGCAAGCAAAGATATTATGATAACTTTGCATCTTTCTCTTTGTAAAAATAAGTTAGACTTTTTCTGGTTATTAGCCTTCAAACTTTACGTAATTAACACATTATTTCCGTTCATAAACATAGTTCAAAAAAAACTTTCTTGGTTATTATATTAAAAAAATACCATTTTAAACTTATAAAAATGTTTTGCTAGTTGGTGAAAATGACACGATAAATACTTTATTTTAAAAAGTTCAGTTTTAACTTTAACTATTAAGAAAAATGAAGGCATATATCGACACTTTTTTTATCTACATATTCTTTTATAAAGATAAGTTAAGTTAAATTTAGAATCCCTGATTTTAAAATATGTCGTTAATAGCAATTTGTTCATACTTAATCATTAGGAAACATCAACCTTAAACGCTAATTACTGAAACAAAATAATAATTTAGGTTCATAATGACATTAGAAATTTTACAATTGTTTATAGACATTTAAATTTACGATGATATAATTTATAGATATTTAAATTGAAGAGAATATAATTTTTAAAAAAAATCATAAATATTTAGAATAACTACATTAAAAAATATGTTATGAAATTAGGAGAATTTCAACTATATACTATATATTTTATTTATACTTTTTACTTACATTTTAATTTTCTTTGACTTTATCTATTTTTTAATTCTTTTCACCTGCCTTTCTTTATGAAGTAACGAGGCGGTTTCTATTTAGATAATGAATTTTTATAAAAGTTCTTTACGACAGAATAAACGTATTGCTGTTTTATATTAACTGTGTCATTTCGGAATCCATTCTTTACATAGTTGTTCATTTACTTTAGGGAACACGCGAAAAATTATACTTTTTCCTTTTGTTTTTATATCAGAATTTTTGCAAGTTGCAATCGCGCAAACTGGCATTTCGATAATAGTTTTAAATTCTTGTAAATTCACTGCAAAAACTGAGGAAAGTCATTATAGAAAATAACAAATGTCTTAGAATATCTCGCAAAAAGAAATGCTCCAATATTAGTTAGAGCTAGTAAGGCCGAACGCTCCGTTCTTGAAGTAAAAGTGCGAGCTTTGCGCCAAAGTGACGTCACTAGAGAAAATCGGAGGATTGGTTCGGCGAGAGCTACTTCGAAGGAGTGAACCAGCCCTTCTATTCTCTTTAGCCCTGACTATTAATATGGTTTCGGACAGGAGATTTATTTTCATTCATAACAGAAAAAAATTGCTCGCACTGATAAGTACTTCCTAACATGGAAATAATTTCATATGCAAATTTTCGAGTATTTTCAAACCTTGCTGGTAAATATTTGTAAAATTCAGTTACACCCACTTCAATGAATTTTGTCTTCAAATTTGAGTCGCACTGAATCTCAATGACTTCCATTTGCATATTACTGGGTACTGAGTCTATATTTATTGAGAAAATCGAAGAAAACAAACAAAATTTGTCTTCCAAAGAATTAAAATCTCTAAACCTTGTTTCAAATTCTGTTCTAAGATTTTTTTCTGCCTATTTTTAATAAGATGCAGTATCCCTGAAATGGCAGGTGCCGCAAGCCAATTAGAATTTTACATTTTCGCGTGTACAATTTAAAATGATCCGTATAGTTTATAAATAAAGTATATTATAATTTTATATACTAGTTTCCTTTCTAATTCACATTTCTATTTTATTTCTACTTTGCGTTGGATATATTGACTGGGTCGCAAAAATGTTCATCTCGGGCCGCATGTGGCCCACGGGCCGCTAGTTTGACACCCCTGGTGTACGGTATCTAATTGCCAATTAGTAATATCTCTTTTGTACATTTACGAAGTTTTCACGTTAACAATCCATCTTGTTTAAACTAGTTGAATAAGGATGCATTGGCACTTGTTTACATTACTAGAGTTCCTTTTCAATGGTTAACCTATCAGTTTTGTGTAACTGAGGGGACATTTAGGTTTGTCCTCTCTGTTACGTCCGCTCTGTTACATGAGAAACTAAAATTTGTATTTTTTTTTTNTTTTTTTTTTTTTTTTTTTTTTTTTTTTTTTTTTTTTTTTTTTTTTTTTTTTGTCAAAAATATAACATAACATGATTGTACGAATGGACTTAATTGTAAAAACCAAATATTACGTTAAAAGGTTTTTTGTGTAACGAATAAAATGAACTTAAATGAATAATTGTAGCGGAGGGGACAAATATATATTTCAGATAATTTTTGACTTAAAAAATAAAAATAAAATTTTTTTAAGGGTAGTCACTGCATAATTAGATTCAGGAACCATTTATTTTACAATATAAATCAATCTATATGTAAAATCGCAATATTTTTAATAACTTATTCTTCGTTAAAATAGACAGTTTTTTTGGTAGAATAAGTCAAAATCATGAATACTCTCTATTCATGATAAATTTTACTATTACCCTGTATAACTCTAAAAAATAACTTTTAAATTCATAAATTGCAACAAATTTACTTTAAAATGATATCAAATACAAGGATATTGCTTAAACTTTAAAAATTCACTACTGGTTTCAGTTGGCATGGAATTCAACATATATATATTACCGTTAAAGTATGAAATCCGTTATTTTATAGAATACCTAGTTATTCCATGAAATAACTGATCGTGTCCGTTAAAGTGTAAAACTCTCTTGTATTTCATGGTTTAACTAGTTATTTCATAGAATAACGATATGCAGCCCGTTAAAGTGTAAAATAATCTTTATCATGTATCTCGCACGACAAATACAATGTTCTTTGTAATTCCAAGTAATGTAAAAAATGCTCGTGTAAAACCCAGTGTGTCAACAAATTTTTTTTTTGTTTTAGAAATAATGTTCTTTGTAATTCCAAGTGTCATTTTAGTAATCCTTGTTGTAACAAATGATTTTATGGTACGTTTCCATAAATACCATTTATACGCTGCATAAATTAGATAAATTGCCTCTTTTTCATTTTAATTGTCTCTCATTAGTTAAATTTAAAGCATACCTAGTTATTTCATAGAATAACTAGTTAAAGTGTCAAATTAATAACATATTACACACTTTAACTGAGACGATCAGTTATTTCATGGAATAACTAGGTATTCTATGAAATAACTGCATTATATACTTTAACGGTAACACATATACTGTTCTCAAGAATTTCTTTCCCACTATATTTATGTGGACTCGTATTCCAATCTTCCTGTTTTTTAATTTGTTTCCCTTGCGTCAAAAGTAGGGCATAACATTTTGAATTGAAAAAAATAATTTAATTTTTAATAATTTTTTCCTTCATTATGTGTGACCTAGCAAAAAGCATCATTATTCAAAGTAGTGTAAAATTGCAAAGATTATTTGTGCTGTTTTTCCATGTAATAGCAATAATCTTAAGACAAAGTGAACTGTCAGAATACGTTTTCTAATAAGGGCTATTCTATTTCTGATGATTTCTTTAAGGAAATCAATATTGTTAAACATAATTCATTCTCATGTTTCAGGTATAAAATATAACGTAGCTTATGCAGACAGGGCAGCTGTTGGATATAGATCTCGGCAACCTGTTATCACTAGGATAATTGATCGCAGTTTACTAGATGATACTTACTCTGGTGTTACTGAGGTAAATTATTTAAAAATAGCACTGTTGTATGTATTATTTTGAATATGAATGAAGTTTCGGTTCAAAAAAATACTGTTTTGATATTAACTCAGTGTTGGGTAGATTATACTGCTTTGGAACAAACTAATATAACAAATGAAATGGGATTTTACTTTGTTGGCGACAATACCAGTCAAGAGTATTTTGTATAAATTTACAAGAGTATTTTGGTTGTACAAGAGTATTTTGTATATTTTGTATAATGTTAAAAACTTTATATGTAATGTTATTTTTCAATGGTTTTTTTTAAGTTGCTATTAGTTATTTCCATATATTTTTAAAAAATCTTAGTATTTTTAATACAATATTATTATAACACGGAAAATTCGAACATGGGTTTCTTAAACTATTTACTGTTTATCAACTTTGTTTCTAATTTTTTGTAAGTTAAAAAAGAGCTTACAAAACCATTTATGATTTAACATTCATAAAATCTCTTATAATTAACTAAATATAACTGTCCTAAAACTAAAAATATACTGAACTGAATCCCAACTGAATGTTGAATCTTATTTAGAACTGTAATGCGATAGTTTTATTTTAAATCATTTTAGACCCCATACAATTTCCTTTATTAAAATATAATTCGCATTTATGATACTCAATAAAATATTTATGTATTTTTATTTTCATTTAAGAACATTAGAGTTCATTTGTTTTAAAATAAACTTTTGTGTTACGTGATATGATAAAAAGACCGTCACTTTCCTCCCATTATTATATTTGTTTCGACAAATCTGTTTTTTGATAAGAAGGAAATATTTTATTTTTGAAATGTAACAGCTTGGTATTTTTCAGTTTTAAATTAATTTTAACATTTATTGAATTTAATTTTATGCAAATATATTGCTATGTTGACTTATGAAAGGAAGAAAAAAAAGAATTTAATAAAAAATTTTAATTACTTAAAAGGATTTAATTTCATGCAAATATTTTACTAAGTTGACTCATAAAAGAATTGTGTCGGAAACTAAGATATTTATGTTAAAATTATCATAATTGCCATCAGCGTGTCTAGGTTACTCGGGCATGCGGCCCTTTATTCAAGAAAGGGTTGTGAACCCCTACTTTATATATTATTATAATTTAAATTAAAATATATAAATTAAAATAAAATGAATGATTATAAATATCCAAATATATCTTCATTGTATTTTCGTTCCACATTAAAATTTTAAAAAGTATGGAAATAAAATGAAATAATTTGCGTTAAAAAGGAAATATTTAATAAAAAAAAACTATGTGCTGTTAATAATGAAATATGAAAAAAATACATGAAAAAGTAAAATATTAAATAAAAGGAAATATTTTTTAAAAAAACTGTTATTTTTATGAAAAAAGTACTTGATTATACAAAAAACCAATACTAAATAAATAAAAAATACATTCATTCCAAGTCTGTTTTGTCGGAGAATCAAAGTTAAATAATTCCCTTTGATTCGAATTAACGTTTTTTATTTTGTTGTTTTCATCATCAGAATTGGTTAAAAAGTAAATGATATTTGTATTTATAGGTTTTCATATGATGAGACAATGCCTTGCAAAACAAATTCATCACAGTCTTGATTTTTACCCCTGCCTTAGCACACTTCCATAGAAATCGACTGACGAACTTTTATTGCATTATGAGTGCTGACATATAGTCTTCTAATAAGGTTCGCACTTGAGCTTTAAATGATTTGTTTATTCCAATATCCAGAGGTTGCAGTTTTTTTATTTTGTCAATGATGGATTGTTTTGCTGAAATAGTTTTACATTCAGCTCGTATCGCCTCCATAGATAAAAGAAGGCTCCATACTGAAAACAACCACGATGTCATGACCTTGTGGTTCTCCCTTTTTTTCAGTCACCTGAACCTTTATTCCTTTTGGAAAATTCTTTTTCAGCATTGTCTTCTGCTTGAAAATAACAAGGCGAGCTGGGGGGGGGACACGCCATAGCTATGATGAAAGCTGTCTCCTTGTTGTAATGTCCACTGAACTCACCTCACAATTCCAATCGGGGGGGGGGGGCAATTGAAACTTGGGATTACTTCATCCATGTTTATAATATTTTTTCCATTAATTTATTTTCTGTTATCATAGTTTTTATAAAATTTAGAAATTCTACGCATTTTTTTCCAATCCGAGGGTAAGCTCCCTCAAATTGAAGCGCCTCATAAATTCCTTCTCCATGATTGGCTGCCAGTGAATTGGATAGTCCTTTTTTTCTGCTAAAAGGCGGACTTTAATCAATATCCCCTTTTCTCTCTTGCTGAGAATCTAGCGATTTAATTCCAATTCAGACCATGTAGGTTAGCCTCTCCTCTCAGAACGTCTCCTTTTGTCTCTAAAATATTTTCTTTGGATTTTCTCCAAAAATGAATATAAGATTCGTTAAAATATCAGGTTGAGTAAAAAGTTTTCCGCCAAAAGGAAATACCTCCGTGCCAGCAGCAGCCATTGCCGTGGTGGTTAACTTTTTTTGAACGGGCTTTTGTATTTTAAAGCAGAAAGTTAGAACTACACAACTGTGTAATTTGTTTGTCAAAACTTTATCATCTTGTGTACCAAAAATTTTTTTAAAATGGAGCTATCACGTTAACAGATCAGACCCATTATGTACTATGAGTTCCGAAATAAACTAAGTGTAACTGAATGCCACAAGAAAATGTGTGAAAGTTTAGGTTTCAATACTGTTTCTTATGAGGATACAGTAAAAGTTTGGTTTCGAAAGTTTAATACTGGGAATTTCAACATTGAAGATGAACCACGTTCTGGCCGCCCTATTGAGGTTGATTGTGACCAGTTAAAGCAAATTATTGTTCAAGACAGAAATTTTTCAACACGAACTATTGCGTTAGAGCTTGACATTTGCCAAAAAACAATAGCAAATACTCTCAAACGCATAAATCTAACAGTTAAGTTTAACCGTTGAGTGACTCGCGAATTGACTGCTGAAGACAAGAGCAAGAGAAAAGCGGCCTGTTTGGTTCTGCTCAGAGATCAAAGAAAAGAGGACGTTCTGGACAGAATTGTGACCTGTGATGAAAAATGGGTATACTACAACAATACTAGCCGTAGAGGAGGGTGGTCAGCATCCGGGGAATCAGCAAGTTCGGTTGCAAGACGAACGCTAACTAACAAGAAGGTCCTTCTCCGTATCTGGTGGGATTGTCGTGGAATTATCTACAAGGAGTACCTTAAAAGCGGGTAGGCTATCAACAGTACAATATACAGCAATATGCTAATCAAAGTTAGCGATGCGATTCGCGAAAAACGAGAAAACGAGCTCAGAAGGAAGGTGATTCTCTTTCATCAAGATAACGCTTGGCCACATGTTAGTGCAATGACCGGCATGACGCTCCACACGTTAGAGTGGGATTTGATGCAACATCCACCATACAGCACAGACATGGCGCCTTCGGATTACTATCTGTTTTCAAATCTGCAGCTGCATCTTGATGGCACAATCTTCCGTTCAAATGACGAGGTCATAAATGAGGTCGATTGCTTTCTCTACTCGCGCACCCCCCAGTTCTTCGCAGAAGGGAATGAAAAGTTGCCAAAACGTTGGCAGACTATTGTTGATTTGAATGGAGATAACTATTCTCATTAGCTTTGCTGATTTTGTATGTGTTTGTCATTTTTCAGGATTTTTTTTTTTTTGGCGGAAAACTTTTTACTTAACCCGATATATTCCGGATGCTCGATTTCCTTTCTCTTTTTTGATGTCTGTAAATATAAAAGTTTTTTTGAACATTTCGATTGATGCAAAGAAAATTTTATTTCAACGAAATTGACTACTTCGTAAATGTTGATCTTAGTCAGAGGAGGGTTGTTAGGTGACTTTCTTATTTCTCTGTTTGCCTGCCAGGTGGTCGAGCGGTTAGCGTGCCTGACTGTGAAGCCAATGGTTGCGGGTATGAATCCCGCTCAGGACATGTATGTTTCTCTATGTGTCTTGTCCTCTGTTGTGTACAATGTGAGAATGTGGCCCACCTTATGAAGGGGTATATGTGGTAAAGTGGCGGGGGTAATGTTGCTCGCCTCTGTGACTCTGGTCACAAGGTGCTCACCAGGCAAAGCAAAATAAGCAATACTTCTGGCATCTTCCGTGGCGAAGAACGATAAGTTTAATGTTTGTCATTAAAAGAATATTATTACTCTGTAACATGACGTCACAATGAAAATAGAACATTTTTACACTTGTTCTAAAAATAAGGAACTCTGACGCAGAGAGAGAAAAGCAAGAAAGCTGCTTCAAAATGAATTGAAGAGTGTAAAAAAAACCTTGGTTTTAGTGAAACCTTGTTTTAATTCATAATTCTTAACTTTTGTTGTAATTTTTTACTGAAGTGTTTGATAGATTCCGGTAAAGGCTAAATTAAAACATAATAAAATACAATCTGGATACTGTATTTATTCACTTTCTTATGCTAATCGAATAAAAATGTTTTATTTTTTCATAATCGTCTGCCAGTCCTTTCAGTTTAAGGTTTTTCTATTTCTTTATTTTTTTTATTGCACTTAATGTTTTCGTCTAAGACAATTTATTTTTAAACGTTTCAGCTGTTTTTAAGACTTTTTTTAATTAGGACCCTCGAAAGGCCCATTCTCACGGCATCTCCAATCGCTGTTGAGTGAAAAGAAGAACCTGAATGGTGAGTTTTTCGCAGGAAAATACATTTCACTAATCAGGTTCTCATTTTCCTTTCGCAGTGATCAGATGTGCTTGAATCACATGTTGTGAGACTTATTAACTAATTCATTCTTCGCAAAGAGTGAAGAAAGATTGATTTTGTTTTCTTTTGCAGGTAAATTAAACGGAAATTGTTTGACAATAACATTAAAGGTTTTAGTGTAGTGGGTGAAAAACATTCAAAACATTATCCGCACCAGGCCATAAGCAGCATAGTTTGATCGAAACACTTTTTGCAGGTAATCGACAGATAATATGCCGAAAATTACAGATTAAACAAACAAAGGCTTTCCTGCCAATTTCAGGTGCCTCCAAAGGTTCTTTCATAATTTAATTTTACATTTTGAACCACACACACTTAGTTTCCATAATTTATTCTAAAAAAATATGAAATATTATGAATGATTTAAATGCATGGCTAATCTTTTTTTTTTGTGCTGTGTCAAATTTTTTAAAATATATAAGCATAAATTTATGACTTTTTTTTTCATTATATAATCAGTGGCAATTATATCAAAAATATCTTACAGGTCCTACTCTCCAAATGTAATAGTTGGTCTTTTAATACTTTTAATCTTGATGTTTCAACTGGCGGACGTTCCCTGTCCAATTTGTTAGTTCATCTTTTTCAACAATATGGATTTGTTCATCATTTTAGATTAGATATTGTAAAAGTCTGGCATTGTTTTAGTAAGCATACTTTAATTTCTCTTTTAAACAATAATATTAAATGGTATATACAATTCCATATCACATGTAATTCCAAGCAGAAATTATAGCGTGTTCCATAACTCCAGTTTTTTTTATTAATATGAACAAATCTATTTCTATTTTGAATGCTAATTAAAAAATAACCATCAAATTAACATGATGTTAGGTTGCAGAAAAAAGCTATAAAGGAGAAATGTAAATAGAACATGCACATCATGATAATTTATAATTTTTGTGCTGAGAATGAAATCGTGACTAAAGGGTGAATCAAGAGAAAAATTTTCTACCATCCATTTCTCCTTGTTGTTTCAATAGAACAAAATCAATTCAGGAATTTTAAAGTCAAAAATTTTAAAATATGGTGGTTTACTGCATTGCTTTTGGTTGTACAAAAAATTTGCTAAAGAAGGACCTTATATATTTCATAGGTAAATTAATTTATTCCTTTTCAGAATTATATTTGTTTTATTCACTATATAAATGAACTTTTACTAGAAAGTGCATTATTTCCTTAAAATATCATATGAATCGAGATTAATCTATTTTATTCAGTCTAATTTCCAAATTTATGCTTTTAAAACAATCTACTAACAAAAATAAACAAATAGAAACACAACTTAGCCATAAACTGATGATTATATGGAATTATTCATTATTAATACAACATTTTTTTTAAATTTTACTGCTCAAATATAGTAGGCAAACTTTTGGCGACATTGTTTCTTTATTTCTTCTTTTATTTATGTTGTATTCTCTACGATGCTTTAGAAAGAATAAATTCTTCAATATTTTTCAGTTTTACCAGCTTGTTTTGAATTAATATACACTCATGGACCAAAAAAATTAGCGCACCAAGAAGGAGTCGTCAAAATGAAACGAAATTTTACATACGTAATGACTACTTTGACATAAGTAAATGATTAGAAAAGCAAGGAAAAACGATAATCTTTGATTTTCTAATCATTTACTTACATCAAAGTAGTCATTACGTATGTAAAATTTCGTTTTATTTTGACGACTCCTTCTTGGTGCGCTAATTTTTTTGTCCATGAGTGTAGTTGATAAAATACATTTACTCACAGAAAAGAGAGGTTATGAAAAATTATTACAAAAATATTTGATAAATAATAGGACAAGGTCTTTTAATACTTAGTTCTGAATTTTTTGGTGATATTGTTTGATATTTTTAAATGGAAATCTTCTGTTCTTTTATAATTGTAATAATAATACATGAAAGAAATTGAGAATATAAGCAGTGGTATTAAAGCTGGTTAATTTTATCACAGGTGAAAAGTTGAAATAAAATTGGAAAGTTTGAAAGAGTGAAGGAAATTTTTTAAAAAGTTTTTTAAGGTGATGCAGCTCATTTTTATTCGTAATTTCTATTTCATTTTTCTTCTCCTTGACATTACTAAAATCATTTATTCTAAACTTTCATAAGATGCAGTACTATTGTTAAATATATGTTAGATTAAAATTTAAGCACGGTTTTTATATACTTCAGTATTGATTAATCTGAAAAATGATTTTTCTGAAAATTACTGAATCCAATTGTAATAAGTTTAATCAAAATATACATTTTTTACAATATTCAAAAATTTAAATTTTCTATAATTTTGTAATTGAGTTTTCTCTCCCCAAAATTGGCAAAAGTATGTGACAGAGGGGACTCAGATGTTTGGGATGAAGAGAGCTGGGGAAATGTAATAGCGGGCTTGCTCTATTTGTATTACGGCTCTATGAAGAAAACCAATTTAATAAAAATGTGTTGGAATTTCTATTGGAATTCATTATCTATTTATAAAAATATAAATCCATATTTTAAGCTAATTTTGATGTAAATACAAGTAAAAATTATTATTTGGTAAGAAGTTGAGTCTTTCCACAAAAAAACTATCTTAAATTTTTTTTCTTTAATGTAAATTATGTTTACATTTTAATGACGAGTCGTGACTTTTTTTTAAATTTTTTTTAAGGAAATAAAAAATCGATTAATTTGTTTAAGGCATTTTAAATCAATTTTTTTTATATTTAAATAAGATATTTTTTAGGATACTTTACTTAAGTTTATAAATAATTAAATTTTAAGAGCATGTAATTATAATTGAAATATAATTAAAACTAAACAATAACAATCCATTTCAAACTATATCACTGTATTAAAAATTGCTTCATAGCTACATACGCATGCGAATGCATGATTCAAATTTATAAAAAATGAATGGGAATATGTCTTTATTAACTACTGAAAAACAGGCTGAAATAATATTATAGCTGTATGTCCTACCTTAACTGCAGGTTCGATAATCTCTCTGTATAGAATAACTATACCAGCTGAATACTCATTCTTAGTTAGAGGTCAAAAAGTAAATTATCAATGAATTTGTATTTATCAACATTATGAAGTTTTTAACTATTGGTATTTAGCGCGCACACATTAAACTGAGAAAATTTAAAAATATTTGAATTTTTTATTTATTACTTGTTGCCTTTCCCAAATTCTTTACGTCATTAAATTAAACAACACACGAATTTAGAAATTTGTTGCATCAAAATATTTACTTGTATATATTTACTGGTATTCAGAATCATTTGGCATGAGACTATTACTTGAGGGCAACTCATGATACTCAAAATTTATCTCAATCAAGCAATTTCCTGCAGTATTTATTACTTTCAGGCAGCGCTAAAAAGCTATTAACAGTTTGATTTTAAATCCCTATAATAGTATATTTTTTACCTATTAAAACAACACTTATTATCAAAATACTAGTATAGTAACAATTACAAAAATTAATTAAAGTACCCTTGGCATCAATAATAGTATGGCAATTTTTAAAGTACCTTTTCTTCATTAATCTTTGGTTCCTTAAGAATACTAATTCACTGACATGCACTCATATTATCCATGTTGATTCTTGAGCTCACTTGACTTAATGAATAAAACAAAAAATTTAATATTAAAGAGCGCGCAAATAACTCCTTTCTTCATTAACTCTAGAAAACTAAATTTTAATCAGTGTTAATCTGTAACTAATCATTTGAGTAATAGACTCGGAACTAAAAACAAGTATATTTTTACATCTCCTGTATTTATTTCATACAAATTAATGTAACTTAAAAAAAAAAAATATTTATTTTAATCGCACTAAATATTTGATTGTTAGACAATGATTACAGTAAATCTCGAAAATTATTAAGCGTACAGATGGACCTATCACTTTCTGAACTCATTTTACTAGTTATAAAGGTAATGTGAGGGCAACAGGAAAATTTTGATTTTGAAAAACTGTTTAGGGTTTGTAGTTCATTAGACATATACTTAGTTAGAAGGTAGTAGGATTTAAAAGAGCTAGATTAAAAGAGTCTGCAGATCTGGCAACCATCATTGATGTTATCTTTTAAATATTAGACAAAACAGTATAATCATAAGTTTATTTATAACAATGCCTAGTGTTAAACGAATGAGAAAACTATTTTTTAAAAAGTACTAACTTAAGTACTAACTTAATGGACTTTTTAAACGAATTTCAGAATCTGGAGATAAATCTGCTCCTTGTAACCATTGTCTAAATTTCAGAACCATAGCCCAAACCATTCTGGAGTTATAAAAAAAAGAGAGACATAAACTCTTAATTTTTTTTAAATTTTAAATTGCAATAATTTCCTTTTAACATAGTAAATACTTAGAGGTACAAAAAATGTAATATTAAAATAAAATATGTTTGAAGAATGTGTTTTAAATTAGGATTTAGTAGAATTTCCATTACCATCAAGTTTTTGAAAAGCAATCCATATCCAATAATTATTTTTTTTACAGAGATAGATAGATATAAATACAGAAAACACTGCAATAAATTTTTATTGCATTCTTAATTTGCATTTTGAAAAATTCAAAAGAAATTAAGATTTTTCTAATATAATTTATTGCATAACAAGTACCTACAAATGTAATTTTGCTACTTGAAATTTAACTCAGCCATAAGTTTTTAAAATTTGAATATCAATAAAAAATTTTAACAATCTTAATTTAAAATGCTTTGTAAATTTGAATTGAATAATCAATAATTTCTTTAAAAAATCATTTGATTTAAATCAATGATTTTATCTGAAAAAGCCTGCTTGATTTAAATCAATGATTTTATCTGAGAAAAACTTGCTTGATTTAAATCAACAAATCCAGGCCAAAACCAAAACTTAATTATGTAGGAACAAATACGTACCTAACGATTTTAATTTTTATTTTTTTGAAAATTATATTTTATCAATAACAATAAAGTGAAGAGTTTGTATGTGTGTGTCTTTTCTATATCTCCAAAACAGTTGTTTATACTATTATCCTGAAATTTAAACAGCCACTGCAAGGGGAAAGTCTCCCCCCCCAACCCTAAAATTCATTCAAAAACCTCAAGATCGCATGAGAGAAATGTTTTGAAAAATGGGGTTTTCATATTGGTTTAGTTCAAGCCATTGCAATAAATTAAACTATAGATAATTCTGCTTTTTTTTTCTTCATAAATTTAAAAGATATTAACCTGTGATATTTGCAAGATTTAGATCAAAAATAAAGTTTATTGCTCATTCATCAATAGTTAAAAATTTTTGCATATACATATACTTCAAATGAATGTACAGGTACAGTGCTAAAAAAATAATAAATGGACCCACTGGAATAATTTTTTACCTGAAGTTCGGATCTTCTTGTTCTAGGACTCATTCCTAATGGTTCGAAAGAGTGACGTCATATATACTAATTAATTAGTGGAAACGATATTTTAAGATAGGAAATTAGACATAAAAACGTACTTTCTCTGATTAGACATAGCTTTTTTCGACTGATTTGGATTTCTGACCCCCAAAATATAGTAGCTTCAATCTGGAAATATTGTTTTAGCAGTTTTTCAGGAGCACGTTTGAAAGTTTGGACCCTTTAATGTAAACTTTAGTTTCTGCGTATTTCACTATGTCCCAATTTTTTTTTAAGCGAATTGAAAAATTTTTGCATACAATTCCAATCATATCAATTCCGATTTGTTTTTCTAAAGATAATTTCGTGCATAATATAATTTTTAATAAACATTTATTATTACTTTATTTAATGAAATTCGAAAAACTTAAGATATCTAAGGTATACAATTTTTTCATCATTTGAAAGAATGCAATTTTAAATGTCTAAATACAAAATTTAAGCAAAATCGGTCAAAGAGAAGGAAAAAACTCATATTTTTCGAAATTTGGTCTCCTAACCCTTTAATTTTTTGAGAATTAAAATTCGCAACTATAAAAGCAAGAGCAAATTTAAATCATAGAGGGAAGAATGTTTCGCGTTAATATGTGGTGAACAATAATTAATTAACTGCGTGAAAGGTTATTCGTTGCAGGCGTATGCCTATATATAAAAAGCTTTTGCAGGGCGAAGCATAAATCTTGATGGAAAGTCTACTTTCAGCTCTGCAGAGAAACGAAAACATAGGCAGACAAACAGCAGCCATATGTGGCAATTTTTTTTCTATAACGTAACTTAGTAAATATTCGTTTCTCGGACGCAAGTTTAAAATTTGTAAATTTAAAAATCATTACAAATTTTAGCTATATTGTTTAAATTTTACATTTTAAGACGATGGACTCACTCTTTTTCTCAAATGGAGAAATTAGCATTTTGCCGAACATAGATGTTCACTTTAAAAAGAAAAGGGAGTCATAAAGAGAAATTTTAAAAGTCTCTTCTATATTTATAATACATATTAACATTAAGTCCCGTGACTAAAATAGCCTTTTTCTGCCAGGCCAGTATAATTATGCTATGTAACAATTAAAAAAACTGAGTTTTATAATTTAATAGGCATAACTATTTCGAAGTTCATTCAAAACGGGACATGATATTTACAGATAGAATACGTGGATGCAAAAAATGTACTTATAACTTTATTTGCAAGACATTTAAATGATTCAAAAGTCAGTCGATGCATATAAAAATGGCATTTTCTTACTATGTTACATGTGCATGAAATTTCAAATTTTTACTGTCGAATAATTTTTGCGTTATGAGAGTAAGAAGCGTAGAAATTTTTTGACAGCTACAACTACCGTTCTTTGCTATAGAAGTAATTTTTAAACTTACAATGTGTGATAAATTGCACCATACAGTACAAAATACATCGATAACAGAAAAAAAAATGCTATTTAAATTTACATTAAAATGAATTTGCACATTATGGTATCAATATTAATGATTTTAGATTTTTAGAGACACACTTGAAAAAAATTAATTGAGAAAAAATTTAAAGTATATAATTCGTTTCAATTTAAATATTTTGAATTAATTTGTTTGAGCCCCCCTGTCGTGGGAGACTTGACCCCTTGTCAGGCAAAGTCTGGCGCCATCCTTGATGTGTCTATTTAATTTATAATTATGCTTTTGAAAAGTGTTTTTAAAAAATAATTCAAAACCAACAGTAATTGAATTTAAAATAAAGTTATGCAGTCAAAAAAAAAATTAATGGAGAAATATTACTTATTCATTTCAATCGACCTTAAAAATGGATTAAACTATAATTGATGCCAATGAAGCTTAATTATTTTTTTTAAATTAGACCCCTGGAATTGTAGTAATAGGTGTGGTGTCATTTAATACTTAATAGGCTAATCTATGTATTTAATATAAGCTCTGATGTAATGAATTCTTTATGGCTTCTTGAAAGGCTTAAGTACTGGAAAAGAAAAATTTCTTGATAATGGTAAATTTTGAGTATCATTGAGTTTGGTCATGAGCAATAGCTTGCTAAATGTGATTAAAAGTCTTCGAGAAATTCATATTCTTAGGTTCTGAAATTAACACACAGAACAAAAACATTTTAAATCCATGAAAAATAATTTCTCCCAACTGATGCTTCTTTGGCTTAGTCAAACTTTAAGCTGAAACACCTATTTTAACTTATGCAGCTGAAGCTTGGATGTCAACATAAAAAGATAGGAACCCCCGCAATTTTGAGAGAAAAATGTTAAGAAGTATTTTTAGAGCTGTTTAAGTAAATAGAATTTGTGGAAAAAACATATATAAAATCATACAGAATTTGCACAAGCCAATACATAATTAATTTTATTAACATCCGAAAGTTAGCATGGGCTGAACTTCTAATTAGAGTTAACTAGACTAAGACCACCAAAAAGTATTTATAGCCAAACCAACCAACATTCGAAACAACATGGGAAGAGAAGGGGCCCCAAACTTAGGTACTTTTTATTTTATATCAGTCGTTGAACAGCCGACCCAATTTTTGGGTTTAAGACTACTGATGTTCAACTCCGTAACCTTGTATTTTTTAACCATCCAGAAGACAAAGAAACTTCTAGATCAGTACCCCCAGAGGTTTTAGTTTGTTATGGGAACATGGAGGACTTTGCTACTCGACAGATTTAACGTGCATCAGTCAACACAATTTACTACATGTGGAGTCTTCGGCCGGCAGGGATCAAACCGACGAACTCTTGGACATCGGTCCAGTTCCCTACCAACCAGGCTATCCCGATCCCTAAACTTAGTCACTAGACATGTCTCAATGATGATTAAAAACAAATGACTAGAAGGACAAAGATAGTCATTTAGTTTCAAATTCTGAAGAAGGCCTCTGCTGGGTGCCAGAGTAGAAGACGTTTCTAAATGCATGCTTTGTGTAACCTAATAATTTAAAGCATCCGGGAAGTTTAGGAAATAATAATAAATATTTAAAAAAATTTAGTTATTTTAAATTATTTTAATTATATTTGCTTTTCAGTTCTGTGCCTGATTTTGTAGTGCAGATTAATATCAATTTATTGATTGTTTACTTTTTCTGCCATAGAAAGAAAGGGTATATAACTATTTCTTAAAAAAATATTTTTCTTGTACTAAACATTTATTTGTTTAAAAAAATTAATTTCATTAAAAAATTTGGCTCTAGAGTCCTTATTCATTGAATGAATTGCTCTCATCTCTCTGCATAGGACTTATTTTTCATAAAAAATCATTTGATATAGAAACAGCAGATATGAATCAAAATATGTTATTTTAGTTGCTATTGAAAGACCCATATTTTTAAGAACAAAGTAATTCAAAAGCACAACTGAGCATGTTGAAGTTATACGTTCTGTCTCATTCACCATATTTATGAACTATTGGTATTGACTACTATTTAATATTTTTAAATATTTCCGCTTTTTCCAAAAAACTATAATAGATGTTCTTCATTTATAAGCTTTTAAGTTCATTTTTGTCTATATTGATTCAAAAGTATAAGTCTATTATAAAAAATGGGCTTTTGTGAAATTTATGTATCAAATTAAGTTTCTTTCATAACAATATTCTTAATTTGTGGCTCTCAATAAATAATGATCACATCAATTTGTTGAACCACACAGATTGTAGTATCTCAATTAAAGGCTAAAAAATTAAAATTAATTTTACTTGTATATTTATATAATACGTTTGACTATTTAACAACTCAAATATGCATTGCTTTTTCTTTAGATTTGATGGAAGCAGCTTATCATCGACATAATCCTTATCATAATTCAGTTCATGCAGCTGATGTCACTCAAGCCATGCATTGTTTTCTTCGGGAACATAAAGTAAAATAATTTTGTTATCTATTGTTGAAAAAGCTTCTTCTGAAAAAGAGTGATGCTATTCTAAAAATCTCTTTTAGTTTTCTGCTCATTTAACTCCATTAGAGACGATGTCATCTGTTCTAGCAGCAGTTGCTCATGACCTTGATCATCCAGGTGTTACTCAAGCATTTCTCGTGGCTACTTCCAATCATTTAGTCAACCTATATAATGTAAGTAGTATTTTTTAATTTAAAATCTATATTAGTTTGAAATATTTTAAACTATACATTTTATGAAACAATTTCAAAAGAACTGAAGTGAATTAAATCCAGCATTCTTGTTACAGTAGGAACTGTGTCCTACATGGTCATGTTTGTTCCATTTATTATGATTCTACAGTGATTTTTCTTTTATATATATATATTGTGCATTAACTGAGAACTTCTATTCTTTGTACAATACATCTGTAACATGCATTATGGTGCTTAAAAATTACAGTGTTTTTCTACTTATTTGCATCAGAAAGAATTTATCACAGAGGAAAAGGTTTGTGTAGTTAAATATTATCTTTATGTTCAAAATCTGTGTGACTAGAAATTTTTAAATCAAAATTTACTCTAATTCTAGAACTCTTGTTAAAAAGGAAGTAAATCATAAAGACTCACAAATAGTTGTTTAACTGGTAAAGAAAATGCTGATTGAAAAATGATTATTTTAATAATTCCTTTTTGTCATTTTATGGATGGTGTTTTCAATAGAAATGTAAACAATAACAATCTCGAGCTCGGCACCTACTCTAGTTCCGGTTAAAAAGTTTGCAGCTGCTTACTACATGTTATTCTGATAGGCGATGTTTTCAAACGGATAACTTTGTTTTCAAAAAAAGAAATAAATTAGATAATTTCTGAGCTCAAATCCGCCATATTTCATAAGATATTAATGTTAATATGTAATTCTGGTGAGTTTGAAGTGAAAATATCTTTTAGTTTGTTAGAGATATATTGTTAAAAAAGGTGACATGGTTGCTTGATTTTGAATAACTCGCATTTTTGGCAGTCTTGATATGGCGTCTTTCCATAAGTTTATTACTGTTTCTTCTTGTTGCAAGCTGTGTACCATCTTACGTTAGTGTTAACACTTTTAGCATTGTAAACACCAGTATTGTTAGCATTGTAAACACAAGTAATAAGTAATAAAATACATTGTTTGCAAGAATCTCAAAACACAATGATGCCAAATGGCTTTAAAATACAACGGAAATAGTAACCCGGAAATTTAGGCGGTTACGAGCTTGCAGCGTTCCCTAGTGTAGAAAACACCATCCATTGATTCCTTCTCACTTAAATATTGCTTTGTGACTATTAATATCTGCAGTTTTTTATTTTTTAGTATGAATATAAAAATATTTCTTAGGGGCAGTCATTGCCAAAGGTTTTAAATAACAAAAACAAATTTTATGGTAAAAGTTAAAATTAGGGATATTTTTTAAAGCTTTAAATTTATACATTTGCTTAACAAAATTCCTTTTAAAGTATATTTTATCATAAATAATTATATTTTGTATAGTTTCTTTTACCATAAATGTGTTCTATTGAATATTAACTAAGGGGATTTTTCTTTAAGAATTCATCAGTCTTAGAAAATCATCATTGGCGAACAGCAGTTTCTTGTCTAAGTGAATCTGGCATATTTAGTCATATGGAGAAAGAAAAATGGTTAGTAAAACATTTTTTTTTTTTAATAATGACTTTAAATTTTATTCTTATATTTTATTGTATTGGTGCTGCCTAAATATCAGGCATCATGATGGCAATTTTGTTAATTTTTATATGAACATAAACCTAGTACTACAATATTTTTTTACTAATCAACTTAGTAATATTATTTTATTAAATTAAATACTTCCAAATGTTAGATTTCGTTTAAAACTGAAAAATAAACACTCTTTTTAAAAGTAGAATACTATTACCTTCTCTTTGAAGTAAAAAATAAACATGGTTTTTTATTATATTCTGTAATATAATACAAAATTTCATTTTAAAATAAATTCTAACAATAAAAAACTGAATATTTATAGCATAAATTAAAAGAAAAATACTAAATAAATATTTGAGTTGCATAAATGCAAATTAAATACTTTAATCTAAAAATAACCAAACTTTTAAAAATGGTTTGAATTAAAACAAAACCATTGTAGCACAAAATAAGATTTAACAGTTAATTAGAAAATGTTAAATAAGTCTATAAATTTTGGAGTAGAAAAATCAATGATTACTAAAATTAACAATATTTTAATCCATACAGTTTGATATTTTTTAATTTTGTTCTAACTGGACACATTTAAACACACAGAAAAAAGTGAGAAAATTTTTTTTTACAGATGAGAAACGATCATTATAATCATAAAATCTTCATTACCATATAGCTTAAAAAATTTTTAAATATTCCAACATGAAGGGAAGAAATATTGCTAAAAAATTTTGGATTTGAAAATCTACACTATTTTGTTAAATATAAGAGACTTTTATGCAAAATATATCAATCATTTTTTTAAACTGATATTTGACAACAACAAAATTTTTTAATTACAATATAGTTTAACAACTTTACAGTATGTCAGCAAGAAACAGGAAAATATTGAAATTTCTCATTACTCTTGAAATTTTGGAATGTAAGATTAACTCTATTTTGTCAAATATAAAATAATTTTTTGCAAAATATATCAATGATTTTTTTTTAACTGACCTTCAGAAAAAAAATTAAACCGGAAAATATGTAGAAATAAATAGAAAAAGGCAACAATTAACAAAAAAGTTTGAAAATGACAATAATTTAAATTGACCTAATATCACTTTGTTTAAATATTACTGTTAATTAATAAAAGTATTAAATTGCTCTTCAAATATTAAAATGTGAAATTCAGCACTAACTGCTGTAATAATATTTTATATGGTCGATACCCGTATTTGCGTTACATGGAGAGGAAAACCTCCCAGGGTTAGCCCGATGACAAGGAGACTCTAACCCATGATCAGTCTACCACTAAAGATAATTTAAGGCAACACTGTGGTCCATGTGAGCCCGGTGTGGAATTCGTGTAGACTATTGGATACTTTTAATCTTGTTTCAACTTGATATATTTAAAACAAAAAAAAGACTGTAAAATGTGAGAGAATAAAAAGTAAAATTAAAGTTTAAGATCAATAAAATAATCAGAATTATTATGAAAAAAATAAAAATAAATAAATACTACTTAACTGCTGTTAGGAAATAAGTGACTAAAATTTAGGATCAGTTGCAGTTCCTGTTTTGCTGGAACTGCTTTGTAAGGGGACACACTTTAACATTTTGTTTTTTTTCTGTATCATCAAATCTTAGCTGTATCTTTAGAACTGTGACATATTGGAGATTAATTAATTATGGAATAGTGATCAATCCGGAATATATTCTGGAATGTAATAACTTTTTAAAAAAAATAAGGAAGAAAAAATATATAATATTCCTTTTATAATAATAAAAATTTGCTTTTTTGAATGTTATATTTAACAGAGTAACAAATTATAATCTGGGCATTCTTGACTTTTTCTGTCAGCAAAAAGAAAAACTATCAAATTAAGTTAAAACTGAAATATTAGAATTTTGTTGCCACTAGGAGGATAGGTGCTTTACTTCCTCTAATGGGTCCCTAATTATCTATGTAACAAGTTTTAATACTTGTACCTTTGTAATTCTGAATCTTGCAACAGAATAGTATTGTGTTTGTATTTTTAGAGCTTAATATAAGATTTATCTCTACCTCCACTACTATATTTAATATTTCAAAAATAAATGTTGTAAATATTATTGTTATAAAGAATCAAAAAGAGTTTTGTGTTAATACTTGGTATATTATGTGAGCATTGGGAATATCAATTTAGAATTGAGTTTTAAAATCAGCATCAGACTTAAAAAGTACTAGTCTCAAGGTCTACAGTCATAAATAATTTTTTTAAAAAATAATTACATTTAATAATACAAAATGTATGAACATAACATAAGAGCAAGAGTGAAGGTATTTGCCTATTGATAATTGTTTGTACCAACCACCACAGCTAAGATTCCAAGAGGTTTTTTTTATACCCTTCAAAATTATCCCTTACTATGAAATTGCTTCTTCAGTTTCTCACGTGCGACTTTTTTTGAGCAAATACCGACATGGAAATCTTCCAGGAAAGGCACATGCGTTGTTTCTAGGCTGGTTTGATCATGTCAATTTATAGTCTAACTGCCTTTGTCAATTTATAGTCAATTCATTCAAAGAATTTCTTTGAATCATTTTCTGTACATTGTTTGACACGTGCCGTTTTGTTCCAGTTAAACACGTGCACTAATAAGCAGAGGGGAGTGTGCAATTTCAAAGCGGTTCAAGTAAATCTGAGTTGTTCTCGGAAGAACTTTATTTTATGTGCTTTTTATATAACATATTAAAATAATTCTTTCATACTTTTGAAAACTTCAAAAAGTTAAGAAAATCACACAAGTCAAGTAAGTGTATATAATTATTCTAAGAATCAGCACATTTTAAAGTTGATTCGTTGAAAAAATGACTGCAGATCAACTTCATTCTAATGTTAAAAATTAAATCAACTGCAATTTTTATGATGACGATTTTAAGAATTATCAGTTAATTTTTATTTTTTCATAAAGTAGACTTCATTGAATCATTGAGTGTAAAAAAAAAAAAAACTCTTGCAACCCACTTTTCTGATTTGTAGGTCTTCAATGATGATAAATATATTTAAAAATTCTATTGGTTTCTGGTTTTTCAGATACACACAGTTAATTAAGAACTAAACCCTGTAAAAATTCAATCATTAGGTCAAAAGTTACCCAGATTTTTTTAAAATTATTCTATGCTATATTCACATATTCGAAAATATTGTTTGTAATAAAGATAGTTATTTCAGGTTAGATATTCAGAAACAGTTAAGGTCTTTGATTTTAGCTACTGATATTACACGCCAAAAAGAGTTTTTGTCAAGGTTTAAAGTGAGTATATTTTACATTCAATCTTAACTGAAGTTTTAAATTCATGGATGTCAAAAAAACTAAATGTTTTTTTTTATTTGTTTATAATTGATTCCCTAAAATATAACAATTTTTTTTAATATTTATTATTGTTGTGATATTTATTATCTAGCACTCTGCAGACTGTATTTTTTATCATCTTTTTCCTTGAAAATAAAATAACTTTATCAAACAAAAGTTTATGATGTCATACAAAAACTATGAATAGGATTGTTTGAAAAGTTGGTAGTAAAGCAAATGTTTACAGGTTGAAAGATATTATTCCTCTGCACAATAATTATTCCTTCTATAAATTTTATTTTAGTACTTTATTTACTAAATCTAGAAACAGCATATTGCAGTAGTCTGAGACTGATAATAGGCTTGGTAGTTTTATTTTATTTTTGAGTAAAAAATTATATTTGTTATCGTATTTACTTAACCAAAAATAGAACGGCTACTGCAACTATCAACATTTACTTGCAATAGATATTTCTTAATTTTAGCCTAAAAAATTGCTATTGGGAACTCCTTTGATAAAGCTTATTGAATTTACTAAACATTTCTTCATTTTTCCAGGAAAAAAAAAGAATGGTTCTTACATACATCTAAAGCTAAAAAGAGAAGTTTTTAAAAACATTTTCACAACTAACTTAATTGTGCAAAAGCTGTAAAAAAATAAAGATTTTACTCTGAATGAAAACTTATTACTGAAAATGAATTTTGTCAATAGTTTGAAGGAAAAGAGGTATTACTCTAAGCGGTTTTCATTGCAGAAGCTGCATCTTTTTTTTTCCTTTTGTAAATTCAAGTACCTTTCTTTAAAAGTAGGGATAAAATGCAAAAAATAATACTAAATAGGGATAAATTACAAAAATATGATTCATATGACTAGTTATAATTTTTTGCATACATCTATAATAATGAGAAAAATTAGGTGTTTCCTCAAAACATATGTTTTAGAACAGGGAACCTATGTCACTTGTTGATCATTTTACACATGTCCACCAACATGCAACCAAGATAAAAATCTTTCAATTTTCATTTGTGTAAAAGTATGAATTCCAAATATAAATTTCCCTTGAAAAAAATAAATAGTACCTACTGTCCAAGTTCTAAAGTATTCTAAAATATGCTTTTGGGTTACTAAGACGTCGCTTGCTCTAGGCCTTTGTATCTCATAGTTTTTGATTAAAGTGAAATTTTTGGGTTAGAAGTATTTGAAAAAGTGAGCCTAAAATGTCTTTTTAAATTCATTTAATTCCTTTACAATTTTCCTTTTACGGCAGGTTGAGATTTTAAACTTACTCAATTTAAAGAAAACAAGTTTGTGAAATGAAATATACTTGCCTTTGATTTTCTGTATTCTAAAAATCTGATGCAAAAGAGAGATTTTTTTATTATTTAATATTATTTTAATACCCACGGCATATTAAAATCCCATTTGTTCTGAGAACATTTGATTTTATAAAGCGGATGATTTTATGAACTAAAATATCTGTATTAGGGAAAAAACATTTCAAATTTTTTTAACTTTACTAATGCACTGTAGGTTAAATTCATTCATATTTACATTAAAATTTTATTTTTACAGATTTTACATGTGTCATTTTATTTATACCTGAGCTACAATCTTTAAGTTGTGGAAGGTTTTTAAAAGATCCGCGTATGTGCTTGATTAGCATAATTTAGAGTTAAAGAATCGACATGATTTAAAAGATTAAAGAAGTTTTTTAAAACTTTCAATACTACTTTTTATTTGCTGTAAATTTACTTTAAAGTGTCAAGTGCATTTCCAACATTTAATAGGGATACATTTACTTCATTGAATGATTGATCATCATTAACATTGAATAATGATAATCATTCCATATTTTCCTCTATTCATAAGTAACTTTCATCTGAATTCTGCTACACTAACCCTGAATAATTTTTTAATATCTCTCTTCATTTTCCAAAAGAAGTGTAATCCACATCTATGCTCGCAGGTGAGAAGATGAAATTTGTTATTTATGTGCTTTCAAAACTTAGGAGAATAGAAATTTCTAATTATACAAAAGGAAAAAAAAAGAGTTTTTCCTTTTTAAAACATACGTCAGACAAAAATTTGATTTTACAAAATGGCAATAATTATTTTGTTAAAGGATTGTTTTAAAATTGTAAAGATTCTGTTCTTTTAGAATTGATTTTAAGAAGCGGCTGATTTTATAATGTGCTTTTATTAGTGGAAGTCACTTTATTTATTTTTATTATTGTAAGCCTACTAAGGTACCATTTTTATTCTAGTTTAGGCAGAAACAATTGGAACTGATTATTCAAAATGCTATGATAAAACAGATTATCATTCTTTAAGGGTTTATTATCAAAATTTTATATATTTATCAAAATCTTAATTTTTTTAATATTAATATTACAAAACAGGTTTTATTAATTATATTTTATTCTCAAAATATTTTATGGAAAGTTATTTGCTTCTTGTATTCAGTTTCTACAGTTTTATTCAAGATATTGAAATAATTTATTTGAAAAAAAAAGCTTGTGATGTAGTGTAATAATTGTTACATAAATTTTTATAATTTCTTTTAGGATTACTTAAGTTCGGATTCCTTAGATATGCAAGATTCACAATACCGTCACTTTGCTTTGCAGGTAAAATTCTCACTTTTTAATATTATAAGAGGTTACGTCATTGCACCAAAGTGCATGTGCACCACAGAGTAATGACTGTCCAAAATGTGGCAGAATAAATCATTGATCCCCTTTTTTTGCTGAAGCTGCCCATTAACATTTCCAGTTAATAGTTCAGCTTAAATGATCCATAGTGAAAACATTTCCATTGAACCAAAATAAAATAAAATAAAGTCATTACGAGTCATAAATGTTTATTTAATCGAAAGAAAAATCTCTATCAAAACCTGATGAATTATAATTCAGGTTGATTACAGTAATATAACATAAAAGTTGTGTAAAAAAATTTGTCCAGTGTATATTATGCTCACCAACTAATGATAATGTGGCAAAATTATTGGGTAGTTTGTTCAAAGGAACAAAAAAAAAGAAACTCTTGAACTTTTTCATGAAATAACTTAAAAACTAATGTGCTCTATACATATTCTTATATAATAAAATCTACTAAATCAATATACATGTTTGAAAATCTACAAACACAAAATAAAAAAATAACATTTTGTAAATTTAGCCATTTTACCTTGTTTTGATTTATTACCTAAATTTTTTAAGCTCATTTTTAGTTATATTATTATTTAATTATATCTTTTTTAATTCCATTTGTTTTGAATAACCTTTCTGAGAAGTCTCAAAATTTTGAAATATGCACTTGTATTAATTGTGATGCAGGGCAGCATGAAGTCAACCAGAAGAATGCCTTTATATAAAATTTGTCAGAAAACCCATTATATGAATAAAAAAAATATCAATAAAAGTTGCAATAAAATATTATTTCCTAATTAAGTTTGAAATATTCAAAAAAATCAGCTGAACATAAGATATACTTTGGAGTAAGGAGGAGAAAAATGGAAGGTAGCAGAATTCGGTAATATAATTTTATTTACTATTTCTGTATTGCTAAGTAAATAATGCATGGAATGACATAAAACTACTGTTCTATGTTTTACTGCTTCACAACAATACAGAAAATTAAGTAAAATTATATCGCCGAATTATTCTACTACCATCCATATCTTCCTCTTGCTTACTCCAAAAAAATAAAAAGCAAAAGCACAATAATATCAGAAAATTAAAAAATCTAATATTATATAGCATCAAAACTAACGCAAAATAATATTATTGCGAACGCTAGATAATATTAGTTTGCATAAAATATAATATTGTATAATGCAGAGCAAACAGCGACCTCTTGTATCTTTCTAATATTAGAAGTTGTGCAATATAACGTTAGATTTTGCCGATTTTCTGATGTTATCGAATATTAGGTGCTACTTGGGTTGTCTGTCCCAGAAAGCAGAAGCCATAATTGATTTTCTAAATTGATAGCCATGATTTCTTTCCTAAATTTTTCTAAAATTGAAGTTTTGATTTTCTTCATATGGTGCAATTGCATTGATTGTTGCTTGGATTCTGGTATGTGGTGAAAAACTGTCTCATCACCAATAACATTGTGATAGAAACTCATTATCCTTTTCTGCATAATGTGTGAGGAAGTAAAGTGCGTATAAATAATATAGTGCATTTCTGCATAGTAAAGTTTTCTTTTTGCTTTTTGATAATTCTCCTGTTTTTTAATATGCACTTTGTTATTATTATTTAAGGCTGTTTAATATATTATATTTTATAATAAGAAGTTCGTCTACTTATTTCTCACAAAAAGTATACCTCCACAAACTGGTGACCTCGGATTTATTACGAATCGAATCACAGCCTGCAATGTTGTACAAATATGGAGTTCATATGCCAAAATCCTGAGCAACAATAAGTTGTCAAGTGTGATGAAATGCAAGTAAAATATTTTACCTGTGATTTAAAGAAGTTTGCTTCAGTTCAGTGAGTCAATATATTTCGGTCAGAATTTTATCGGATCTTATTTATTGAATAATTAATTTTATCTGGTGTGTTGAATCTGAGTCGCCAATTTCTCTGATTTAAAGTACCAAGAAGCTGTGTCGCTATATACGTATATTGATTATTTTCTGTGTTATTGTGTATATTTGACTGATCTAAAATGGTTGACAACAATGCTTCTTCACAATTGGCATGAGTTGCAGTTAAGCATCCGCCATTTTGTCGCCAAGACCCATCGTTATGGTTCATTCAGCTGGATGCGCAGTTTAAATTGAGCCACATTACTGCTGACGAAACTCAATTTTATACAGCGATTGTCGCTTTAGAATCAGAAGTACTTCAATCAGTTCGTGAAATTATCTTGAGTCCACCGGTGACGGAAAAATACAAATCTTTGAAAGAAAAATTAATTTCTGTTTATGCAGAATCCGAGAAAGTTAAAATCAAGCAACTATTGCAAGATTTACAGTTAGGTGATATGAGGCCTTCTCAATTGTTGTCTAAAATGTCAGACTTATCCGCCGGTGACCTAACGGACAACATTCTTAAAACATTATGGATGAATAAACTCCCATCAAATATGCAAGCCATTTTGGAGACCAGTAGTGAGCCTCTTACGAAGCTGTCCGAAATCGCTGATAAAATACACGAGGTGGTCATGCCAACGCAAATACATGCAGTTCAGACTCCTGATCAAGGTATTGTGGCGTTACAGGCTCAAATTAAAGAATTGTCCAAACAGGTCTCTCAATTAGTAGCCATTCAAGCTGAACCCTTTCAGCGTCACCGCTCTCCATCACGTGGTCGATATACACGTCGTAGCCCTTCGAGGAAACGTTATGAAAGCCCTTTTCCAGGGTATTTGTTTTTGCCACCACAATTTTGGAGACAAGGCAAGCAAATGCTGCCAACCATGTCGTTATAACAACCAGGGAAACGAGACGGGCAGTCGCTAAATGTCGTGAACGACAGCTGCCGGAATATTGCACGTCTTTTCGTCATCGATAAGAATTCAGGTTTAAAGTTTCTTGTAGACACCGGGACTGATGTTTCTTTCGTGCCACCACATTTTCATGAACAAAAGCGCCTTACCAAATTACAACTTTATGCAGCAAATGGAACTCCTATACAAACTTTTGGTGAACGCCTGATATCTATTGACTTAGGATTCCGCCGCAAATTCCAATGGCCATTCATTGTTGCCTCCGTTTCAAGTCCTATTTTTGGCGCTGACTTCTTGCAAAAACTTTCTTTGCTTGTCGATCTTAAAAATCGCCGTTTAGTAGATTCTTCAACGAACTTATCTTACCTGGGAGAAATTCGCAATAGTCAAGATTTAAGCATTTAACTGATTTCGGATACTTCTACATGGCATCAACTTCTCAGAGAATTTCCTACAATCACGCGCCCAGTTATGGGTAATTCACAACCCAAGCACGATTCATTTTATTAAAACTACCGGACCTCCAATATGTTCTAAGCCAAGACGTTTACCTCCAGACATGCTTAAAGCCACCAAAGATGAATTTCAATACATGATGGAACAGGGAATTTGCCACCCATCGAAAAGTTCATGGGCCAGTCCGCTCCATCTAGTTCGGAAACGAAATGGTAACTGGAGTCCATGCGGGGATTATCGCCAGTTAAATGCAGCTACAATTCCTGATCGTTACCCTGTCCCCCACATTCAAGACTGTATGCAAGTCTTAGAAGGAAAGACTATTTTTACAACTGTTGATCTTGAGCGGGCGTACCACCAAGTGCCCGTTAATCCTGCTGATATTCCAAAAACTGCAGTTATAACTCCTTTCGGACTATTTGAGTTTCCGGTCACGACTTTCGGCTTATGCAATGCTGCTCAAACGTTCCAACCTTCATTAATCAGGTGCTAATCGGCCTGTACTTTTGTGTACCTTATTTTTCTCAGATGTGATGCTCCAAAGCCTTCTCTCACACCAAAATTTTCAGACCACATCAAGTACTAGTTTGATACAAAAAAACATTCAAAATTTTAGTAAACGAAAAAGAAGTTAATGTTAATATCGACCGCCTCAAACCGGCGTTCATCTGGAAACCTGAAGCCCCTGTGCCACATGCGTCATCAACATCGACTGAAACCACGACGCCCGACTTAACAAATGCTACCACAACAACACGCTCGGGACGTCGAGTACGCTTCAATCCGAAGTATTTGTAAGAAAGGTATCGTTAGAGTACTGCGGTGACCTGCCTACCACAACTCAACGCTGCCAGTCTGATATCCCATAGCAACGAGGAACACAAAAGAAAAACTAATGTTTTCTTTTTGATAATTCTCCTGTTTTTTTAATATGTACTTTATTATTATTATTTAAGGCAGTTTAATATATTATATTTTATTATAAGAAGTTCGTCTACTTATTTCTCACAAAAAGTATACCTCCACGCTCACTAATTAAACTAGCAGACAATCTCGCAAGAAAAGCAAAACGTTCAAGGTTAGAACCCTTACTCACAGAAACCTTTTCTTTGCTGCTTTCGGTGTAGTATCTTTACTTCCTGAAAAATGCCTTGTATAAATACTGGGTTTACTGTAATATACATTTACATTTTTAGAAACTGCCATTAATATACATTTTTAGAAACTTTGAGAAAAATGAAAAGTCATTAAAATCAAATAAATCACTTTTGAGAAAGACTGGATTGAAAACATCAATATAGATCTGTCTGAAGAATGAATTAGGGTGTTTATTATAATCTCTTTTCATCATTTCTCAATTTTCTCCATTCAATCCAACATGTTTTTATATTTTTAACTCACCTTTCTCAATTGTGATAAATTAGATATTAATACCTTAAGTGTTTTTGTATTAATAATAAATAAATAGATTTTTGAGAAGCATTATTAAGATATTTGAAATTTTATGAATTAGTATTACAATCATATACACAGTAACTTATAGGTTTTGATCCGTGCTTTTATGCCGAAGTCAGTTGAAAAACACTACATTTCAGCAACGCTGTAATTTAGGATTTTCGTTCATCCCCCCCTTTATAGTTTGTCTATGGTAAGAACTACCCCGTCAACAAAGTCTGAGGGCCGTCTGCTGTTATGGAAACAAGAATTGCGCATTTCAGGGAGGGTAGTTTCTCTTCACTCTAGGGCTAATGCAGTAGACCAAAGAAAACGAGTCCTTTTCTCTCCCTAATCCGAGCCGAAACCTGTCCTAAACAATTACCCCACACCCCTACTTAAAATGGTCATACCTCATTACCATAGTCACCTCCACGGATCCAGGTGAATGGCCAGAGGAGTTCTTACTTTAGACAAACTATATGAAGACTTGCATTTTGGGGAAAAGAATTAAGCACAACAACACTGTCTAGCAGGCGATAGCAAGTGATTGAAAGAAAGAGACACAACCTCCTTCCATTTCTCTAGAGTGAAGCGCAAGCACATTGCCTGCAAATAACAATATAAATTTACCTTATTTGGCACATGCATGTGGCAGAGCAAAAAAATCCTCTAGTCCACCTTACAAGATGTAGCTGCTAAGAAAACTTGACAGTTAAGGTCAAAGTTGTAAGTCTGATGCAAAATTTTGTTAATTATACTTAAAGATGGCCTAAAATTAATGCCTAAATAAAACTAAAATTAAATAATAACAGTATTTTTATAACTAAATAAAAAGATTAACTTGGTTTTAATGTTGAGGGTCTCAAGAATGCCATACAAAATTGTACCTCTAAGGGATTAAGAACCCATATATTTCAAATTTTGGTATATAAATCAATGTAAGTTAACACCTCAGAAATTCAGTACTGTTTATTCATTATTAAATTTTCAAAAAAATTTAAAAAAACAGTAGATCATTATTTAAAACTAATTATTTTTGCATGAAATTTTCTTAAATATCTGCAAAAACAGTAGTTGTGAGGAACACATAAAAAATTTACATACAAGAAATCTAAAAGCATATTGTGAAATACACAAAAGTGAAAAATAAGATCTAGACGCATTCATAACCTTAAACTCTTGGCGAAACTTTTTTAAGACTGTGGTAACCCTATTTTGACAATTAAAAACTCTGAATCTGTGAAAGGAAAATGTATTTTTATTTGGAGAAAGTACCATTTTGTATATAATAGCTGCACTATTTATATATGCTATCTACCTATGAATCATGCAGCTTTCCACAATTAGAACATGATAATTAGATTAAAAATTATTCAGAATTACTTACTACATTTCAATTACTTGTGTTGATGTTATAATTTTTATTCAGATAGCTCTGAAATGTGCTGATTTATGCAACCCTTGCCGTCCATGGACAATAAGTCAAAGATGGAGCTATCAAGTATGTCAAGAATTTTATCGGCAAGGTACTTTCTTTTGTATAAAGTTGGTTATGTTTTCGAATATTTTTTTGTGAAAGGTATCAGTTAATTTCATAAATAAGTAACACTTTAAGACATTCATTCCGCTATAAGTTTACAGCAACACATTTTCTAAAGTTTCGTCATGCTTTAGTTACAGTACGGCTCCTTAATAGCTTTAAAGGTTTAGTTAATGATGTAAATTTGAGGAGCAAACACTCTATACATAGCCATAACCATACCAACACTAAATCTAAATATACTACTATAGCACTACAATTTAGTTTCTTTGTTTAGTTTCTGTGTTACTCCCATTCATTTCCCTTTTATTTAACTCTGTTAAATAGTTAATTCTACTATAAACAGAAAAAGGAAAATTTAGATAATATAATTTATTGAAAAACATTAAGTAACTGTAAGAAATAACATCAATTTAAATTTTTTTGTTACATTAAAAAAACTAATAGTGCATGTCAAAAATGCATAAATATGCATTATTTTCAGCATAAAACTAAATTTAAGGAAATAAAACAATAAGGAATTTCGACTATTTAAATGAAACCATAATTTACTTTGGGTGATAAGAAGATATGTTTTAAAAGGACATTCAAGAATTTTATAGATTTAAAATAAAAGTAATTACCAAACAAGTAAAATTGTAAGCTTCATAAATACAATTAAAAAATAAAGAAGGAAAACAACAATGTGTTCACTTTTTATTTAAACTATTTCATTTTGCATCCTTTATAATAAATAGATTTCAATAACAGAGTAAGTACAGTGAAACCTGCCAAGTTGAGCACCCCTGTAAGTTGGGCTCCTACATAAGTTGACCTCAATTATCAAGAACGGAATTTTTCCTATATAATATAAAGAAGCAAAACCTTTGTAACTTGACCACCTGTCTATCTTGTATGTTGACCACTGAAATAAGTCAATTTTGTCTAGGAGTATTATGAAATTCTATTCTAAAACCCTCATAAGTTGACCAGAAAAAGAAAAAAAATTCAGAAAATTTTCTGTCATTTTGGCAATGTATGTTAAAATTTCACTTGTTTGGTGAAATAGTGTAAAAAGCTTATCTAAACCCTTTTGTGAGTTGACCATGGGGGGAAACTGTAGGGGGTCAGCTTTTGACCATTTCTTTCATCCGTTCATTGAAAACAGGAGTGTTAGTTGAAAAGTTGCTCTTCCAGTTGCGATAGTGAGCATTTGAGTAAATGAATGCTCTGAAATATGCTTTGATCCTTTATTTATGGTCTTCGATCTTTAAGTGTAGTAAATAAATTTTAAAGTGTTCAAATAATTTTATTTTGTTAAAGTTTACAAATTACATGCTTTCTTGTTCTGATATTTTAAAAAATTATTTTTATTAAACACTTCACATGCATATCTTACGAAATAATTTTTTTTTTAAAAAAAATTTTTAAATATTAGAATTTTATGTATCAAATTGAAGTTTATTCAGGTTTAAACATATTTCTTAAGATATTCATTTGGATATTTTCTGAATGAAATTTTTAAGTAAAGTAAAAAAAAGAGAAAAAAATTTATATATAGCAACATGATGTAGGAAACGAAAAAGCAAACCATGACCCACCCCCTCTATAAGTTGACCACTTGTCTAAGTTGACCACTGAAACAATGCACCACAAGTGGTCAATTTACACAAGTTTTACTGTAATATTCTTTTAACTAAATAGTAAACTAGGGTGCGATTTTATTAAAAGGAACACAATTTAATGAATATTAAATAATATGTTAATGTTAAATAATATTGCAATAACTAGTTAAAATAGGAACAAAATAGCTGATGTTTAATAAAAATTGATTGAATCAATCATTACCTTATTGAATCAATCATTACAAAAAATGTTATTTCACTTGTAATTAAATTTGTAAAAGAAATCAATTTGCATTATAAATAACTATCTTGCTTTGTATTGATTACATAGTTTTGATTGATTTTATAATAAAAATATACTTATAAATGAAAAATACTAATTTCATGACTACTTGGTTCACTATGGTTTTCAAAAGTCCGACTGAGAACTTTGAAGATTAAACATAAAAACTTCGCTAGTTGAAAAAAAAATAACAAGAAAATTTTTCATATAAAAAATTCTTAGTATCATTTGTTTATAATTAATATTTGTTATTTTTCATTTTGTATCAATAAAATATGAATTAGTTTGAATAGTTTAGGCATTTTAGATTAAAATTGTTAAATAATTTTAAAAATTTGTTCTACAAAATTGAATAATTCAATATTATGAGTTTTTTATACTTTACAGTCTATTGTTTGGAGTAATTTCATAAAATTATGGGATGTAGTTTAAATATACTCTTCATATCAGATAATTAAATTTATGAAAGCAAGATTTTCAAGGATTAAAATATCTCTCCAATATCCAATTAGAATACACCTGAGATATCCAGGCATCTTTTGGAAAACAATGTTATGTGTTGGATGTCTCTGGTATTCAAATATCTGTAGGATCACATGTTTGTGATCTCTGGATTTCTGATTGATATTCCATGGATATTCTGGTATCTTGGTGAATTCCGTTGGATTTGGGAATATCAAGTTTTTTTTTGTCTAAGTGATTTATCTCAGATATTTTAGGGATATTAGTGACTGTGTGGGACTAAAACCTCTCATGATCATCTCACTACCTTGGCAACATTTTCTGAAAAGATTTCAAATCTTTTTTAACCATAAGTCAGTATCTTTATGGCAATTATGTAAAAAGTAACCATGTTTGTATTTAATGAATTGTTAGTAAAATAATTTTTTTCACAACTTAGAAGGGTGCGTAGACAGATTTTTCAACAAAAAATAACACCTTTTCAAGCACTCAAAAATTTTTTTTTATCACTTTTCAAAAAGAAAAAAAAAGATCCTAATTAAGATCTGTGCAGTACTAAAAATAATTTTTTTCTATCGTTTAAAGTTCTTAATTGATAAACATAAAATCAATAAAATTCTAAAATATTTTCAAAAACTTTACATAATCGTGATAAAATAACTAAGTTTCTGATAAATATTGCAGAGAAAATTGTGAAAATCATGCATCTTTTTGTAATTTAGAATGACTATCGATACGGCATTTAAAAGATAAAAAATTAAGCACTTATTACAAATCCCGAATAAAAAAGCGCTTTTAAGGGCTTTTAAAAAACATATATCAAAAATAAGTACCTTTAAGCACTTTTTAAAAATACTACGCACCATGTTAGGAAGATACATTTTGTCAATGAGTATTAATTACAAATGAAAAGTGAAAATTTTAGTTAATATTTATGAAATTGTTTTTATTCTAACTAACAGTTTGGGCCACCCTTACTCTATAAAGTTTCTGGATTGCTTATTACATCCTGAATTAGTGAAACCGGTGAATACCACTCCTCTTAAATTCATTTTCGTGTGTGGTAAGCGGTGATCTTCAAAAACTAACTTTTCCACTTCATTCATTAACCCTCTGCATGCGACCCTCGTGATTTAAGTGGGGTATCAATTTCGTCCCGACTACGGGTCACGTGAAAATCGGGGCGAAGAATTTTTCCCCTTTGTTTCAATACTGACCCCGTTATTTCCCTGTGACGGTTAAAAAAGCATCATTTGATGCTTATATTCGCTGCTAGATGGCACTAGAGGGTTCAGAAATTTTTCTCTTACTAGATTTTTCCCTGCATATTCGTAAGTTACATGCTTTTTGTTGTTCTGTCAAGCGATAAGCATTTGTAAAAGATATGGATTTGCAGAGTGTCAGCGACGTTATTTGTGGGAATAACAAATGAAAATATCTTGATTATGAAGATAGTGATTTGGATTTGGAGTATTCCCTAAATCTGGGCTTTTATTTTATTTTTTCGGCTTTATTGCAAAATTTCTGTAACATTTTTCGGGGCAAAATGTTTAAAAATTACATTCATCTGAAAACAAAAAATATTGCATGAATTTTTTCACTTATAAACTCTGCCTGCTGAAATAGCTGGTGACATATTATGCATTTTTTGAAAACAAAAAAGCTATTAAATCTGGAAATCCACATTTTTTCTGGAGCACAATGATTTCTGGGAGGGTTAAAAAAAACAGATTTTAAGTAAAAAATAATTTATCAAGCTTCTTGGTATTTAAGTTTCTTCGAATTTATAACATTACTTGTAGTCTCAATACTGCTGAGATCACATAAAAATAATTATGTGATATAAATAACAGCCAGTCATCACACCTATGAAATTTGGTTCTGTTAGATATTCTGAGCACATTTGAAATAACAATCTAGGAGCATAGTAAAGATCAACGGTTTTATTCAAGAATGTGGAATTGATAAGCTTTTTATCATTGTTATAGGAGCTTATGAGAGGCAATTAAAGTTACCTCTTACTCCTACTTTTGATTGCAGTCGGACCAAAGTTGCAAAGATTCAAGCGGGTAAGTTAATTTTATCTTTGAAACTTCTGTTCTTTTTTATTGAAAAAAAAATCTTACTTAAAAAATTTTCTTATCTGGATGACTGTACTTATGTAGTCTGGAAATAACTTTTATGGACAAAATTTTTGAATTTTAATATGACTGATTTCTTAAACATTTCACTTTAAGTCCTTGACTAATATAAAAATAAGTCATTTATAATCAATTTTCAAAAAACTCTTATCTGCTTTGAAATTTTGATTTTTTAAAATTTTTGACAAATAACTTAACATTTTTGCTGAACGCAGCATCATTTTAAAACTCCTAGCCTCTTAAAAGTTTTTTCAAAGATACTTTATTTGAAAATATATCCTCATATTCATAATTTTTTCTGCTTTAAAGTTTTAAACTATGTAAAAAGGAAATTCTTTTTCTATTCATTTATAAGAGTTATATGCATAAATTTTTATAAGACAAAAAGTATAATCAGAATAGTGATTGCTGGAACAAGAAAGTATCTGAAAATTTTTAGAAACTTTATAGTTGGATAGTTTTATTATAGTTGGATAGTTTTATATTCAATGTGTAGTTTTTTTTTTTTATTTTTTTATTTTTTTACAAGAATTTTTTTCAACACTTAAAGATCATGCTTGTGTAATTAAATGGAAAAAAAATAAATAATAAGACATACTTGTGAAACATGAAAGTAGTATTCATCAAATAATAAAGAAGAAAGAAATGTTTTCTGTATGATATTTTTGAAAATAAGGATCATTTTCCACCTTTTCTGCATTTTTCAAATAAGTCGCTTAATGCAGTTCTTTGAAGGCTCTTTCGTAATAAGAAACGGTGCTTTTTTGCAAATAAAATAGTATTTTTATAACTGCTGTGAGTTTGCAACTGTTACTCATGTACTGTTAGGTCAAGTTTAGCCTATCTAAAGCCAGCTCTGTCTATGCTTATTTTGAAAATGACGCAAAATGTCAATATGGGGAAAAGCCATAGTTTTGAGCAAATGAAAAGCATTTGTGGTCGAATTGTTTAATATAAAAATTTTCAAAAATTGAGAATAAGGCAGTGATTTTGATAATTTTTATCTTGGTGGGAAAATGTTGCCAAATTGGCAATTTTTAAAAAAGTTTAATAACTTTTAAAATATTTAAGTAATTGGTTTGTTTTAAAGCAAAGATAATTCTTCAAGGCAAGATTATATATGTAGTTTAAAATCATCTCATTGCTTCCTGTGTAAGACATTGTAACTAAGACTTTTTTATTTTCCTTGGTGTCAGAGTTTTGAAAAACAGTGTTAAAAGTGAAAAAAAAACAAGATTTTAAAAATTGTGAGATCTGTGGAAACAAGCTGATAAAGAGATGGACAACAAAACCATGTAGAGCAAATCTGATGCGTCTAAAAGCGATTATTAAAATGCCCAATTTGAGATTTGTGTGTTGTAATTAAAAAAAGGGATGGAATAGCAGCATAATCATTTTGGAGCAACAAAAAATAATGTGCTTTGGAGCAAGAACTCTTTAGATTCAGAGAAGCATAGTGATGCGTCTAAAAGCGATTATTAAAATACCCAATTTGAGATTTGTGTGTTGTAATTAAAAAAAGGGATGGAATAGCAGCATAATCATTTTGGAGCAACAAAAAATAATGTGTTTTGGAGCAAGAACTCTTTAGATTCAGAGAAGCATAGTGCTTGTAAAATTAGAATATCATATTTAATAACACAACTAAGAATTACTTGAATAAACAAAGAATTGTTTTTTATAATTTATTTCTACAGGATTATATCATATTAAGATAAACATGCATTTTAAATAATTATATAAGAGAAATATGACATTATTTGAAACTATAATTCCCATTTTAAATTAAACTTATTTACCGCCTCCAATAATAAAAATGTAACATTATGGATAATATATAAAATCATCAAAGCAGAGTTAATTCTAAAATGGGATTGTGGGTGCACACCCCTGTTTATAATTTTTTTTTTTACTTTTTGTTCATTTCTACATGGTTTTATAAATAACCATATCTTTACAATGTTATTATAATACATAACTTTTGCATTTTGTAGCAAGCTGGTGCAGAAATTTTGTTTTCGAAATTTTAGAATGATTTAAGCAGCTGTTTCAACCTTGTATATATCTTATTAAAAATATTAGGATATTTCAAACCATGTAAAATTCAATGGCAAAATAACTACCGAAAAAACAATCGAAACAGAACATGAATATACAATTGATCTATCAGAAAAAACAATAGAATATTATTGTGTAACCAAGTGAATTCTTGAATACGCGATTTGAAACCCATGGATCGTAATAGTATATCATATTAGAAATCTCGGTTTCAAAAACTATAACAAAATCAATATTGATATTTATTGAAAAAGCAATTGAAAAACCACATGAATCTATGAGGGAATCGAGCATGTGAAAAAGTGATTATTGTTCTAACTTTACGTGTTGTAAAAACAGCGTGTGAAATGGAACAAAATTTTAAAAACAATGTGCAAAATAATGGTAATAACTTCTCAAAAAAAAATCATCAAAACCATTTTGAAAAAAAAATTTATTCCTCCCTCTTTTTAATTTTTTGAGTAAATCACTTAAAAGAAGGGGGAAAAAAGAGTGATATTTTAAAAACAATGAGGCTTGTAGCAACATCTTCCGCTTAAGAGATTGACCACAAAACCACATGGATTTATGACAAAAATTGATTATTCAAATGCACAATTTAAGATTTGCTAGTTATTAAATATTGTATAGATAATATCAGGTATAGATAATAAAGAATGAAGATTCACTCATCTAAAATGGTAACACAAATTCACAAATGAGCGAAACAAATAATTGAGAATATCATATTTCACATCTTCTTTACTTGATTAATAAATAGTATTTGTTAAAGTTACAATTATTAGTTCATATCATTAAACAATTTGTATTTTGCAGATTTCTTTCAATTTGTTGTATCACCTCTCTTTGAAACCTGGGACCACTTTTTACAGACACCATTTTCTAATATGCTTTTAGAAAATCTTAAACATAACTTTAATCAATGGCAGCAAAGAATATTGTTGCAACAATCAGCTACAGAGAGAAAAATCCCTGTCATCACAATAGAAACCCCCTCAGATGCCTCACCTGAAACTCAAGAATTCCCTAAACAACATCGCTCAAAAAGTGACAGTGGACTAATTCCTCCAAAAGTACATATGGAAACATACTCTAGTGAGGAACTTCATCCTAGTACTACTCTTTTATCTCTTTCAAGTATGACAAATACTGTTCAGTTAAGACAAGTCTATGCTGCCACTCAAGTTGAAAGTCATCTCATTTGTCCTACAGTCTTTCAACCATCTCCTACAGATCCTCTTGAATGTCCAAATGGCTGTTGCACACCAATTCTTCCTTCAAAACAACGCTCACATAACTTTAAACATTATTCCTCAAATCGTAGAGCTTCGGACTTCGGATTTCAAATTTATAGTAAACTTTGTACAACACAAGATAAAATTTCAAATAATGAATTGACATGGACAACTAAAATTCCTCCCAATGAAAACACTGCCAATAATCGTTTTTGCAATACTACAGATATCAATTTATTCAACTCATCCAAAATGTGTTCAGATACCTGTGATCATCCTTCTTGGTGTTGGCATATCAGTCGTAGCTTTTCAGAAGAAAGGTCCCATGACTTTGATTCTCCTTCAGTTCATAAAAGTAGACGTGGTTCTGCTCCAGTATCCAACGAAATTGCTTCAAGAGGTGGCTTAAAAGGGGGTTCTGAAACAGGGAGAAGATGGTCCTCTGAGATATCAGGTATTTTTATAACAATGAATATCTTTTTAAGCTCCATCTCAGTTTTTTAGCAAATAAATATTTTACTAAACATTATATGCCAAACTTAACTAATGAACTGAGATTTATGCTTCAAACATAAATCTAACAAACATATCTTTTTTTTTCAATTCACAATCAAAATCTCAAGTGTAGTATTTTCTTAACTTCACCAAAAAGGTTTATTTTTTATAGCTTATCCGTTTGACACAAATGGGACACTGGTGTCCCTTTTATATATTTTTTTTTCTGGTGCTCTAATTACAAGTAAAAGTATATTTTGATATTTTTTAATTATAAAAACACTCGAATAGATACTAAACAAATCTGTTAGATTATCAGAATTATATTTGTACAAAAATATGAAATCCTGAAAAAAGTAGTTTTGAAAAAAATTGTGTAAATTAAAGAAATTTCAATGATGAATAACTGTTTCTCTTATTTCAAAATTGAAAAATATTGTTTGGAAGTAAAAGATTTGTATTTAAAATATTTTACCTTTAACGCAGAAAAAGACACTAATGTTTCATGGTGCATTTCATAACCGCATCAGTTATTAAAATGCTAAATATTAAATTTTTCACTTATTTAACCTAAATTAATACAAAATAATGAAAAGATGAAAAGGTGTGAAAAACATTTTTCATAAAAATTCTGTGTCACCAGGTCAAAGTTTACAATTAAGTAGTTCTAGAAAACTTTTAAAGTTGTTTTGGTTTAAGGGAACAACTGCATTTAAAAAGGGTATCCCAAAATCCATTTTTTACCGTTTTGAAAACTTAAATTTCTTTTTTATATGATTTTTTTATTTAATAAAATACGGTATAAAACCACTTTTTTGAATTACTACACCAAAACGAAATCATTCAGAATATCTGGGTCTTTTTTTGAATTTCTGGATCTCTAAAGACTAGCAATTATTAATTACAAAAAATTATGCTACAAGATAGTTTTTTCTTTTGAAAAAGATATAAAAAATAAAAAGTAAATTATTTTTTTTCTTTCATCTTCCTGCTTTTCTGATACCTAAATATTTATTTTGCTTCAATAAGCACACTAAAAGAAATGCTTAAACAATGAAAGCAATTGAAGAAAAGAAAACTTAAATGATGTGAATAAACTATGAATATTAATGAAGCTAAATATTAATAGTGTTTAAAAAGAACACCGTATAATTATCTATTAACAAAAATCTGTTGATAAAAATCTGCTCCTTGTTTTATTATCTTTTTTTTTTTTATTAAATAAGATTATTAATGGATTAATTTACTTTTGGAATCTGAAACTTTTTTTAATGTTATTTTTATTTGGTTATCAACCCAGCTAGTTCTTCACATCAATAATAATAAGAGAAAAGAAAAACAAGTGTCATTCATGATNCTGCTTTTCTGATACCTAAATATTTATTTTGCTTCAATAAGCACACTAAAAGAAATGCTTAAACAATGAAAGCAATTGAAGAAAAGAAAACTTAAATGATGTGAATAAACTATGAATATTAATGAAGCTAAATATTAATAGTGTTTAAAAAGAACACCGTATAATTATCTATTAACAAAAATCTGTTGACAAAAATCTGCTCCTTGTTTTATTATCATTTTTTTTTTTATTAAATAAGATTAATTTACTTTTGGATCTGAAACTTTTTTTAATGTTATTTTTATTTGGTTATCAACCCAGTTAGTTCTTCACATCAATAATAATAAAAGAAAAGAAAAACAAGTGTCATTCATGATAGAGACATACGTATCTTTCCACATATTTTTGTGAATATATTCAGGGTGGCCATTCAAATCAGGTTTCAAATTTCCTTTTCTTTTCTTTAAACCAATATCTAAATTCAAATATTCACATAACTTTGTTTATTTTGAATTAGCATTATTATTTTAAGAGATATTCAGTATCCAAAAATGAATGTGACTAATGCAAAATTGTGGAATTTTCTGTTGCATACTAAACAGAGAAAAGCTAGATAAAATTCTTTACATTTTTTTAAATTATTTTTAGTTTTTTTTTATTTGAAATCAAAATATTTAAAGAATTTCAATAAAGCCACGCAATTTTTTAGTTTAGAATAGTTGATTATTTTTTAGTTTTTTTACAACCAAAAAAAGTACCTGTAGAGTGCTGAAAAAAAAATTTATGTTTTCCTTCTAATAAATAAACATATACTATCAATAAATTTTTTATATTCTATATTAATCTATAATTTAACATGTTTTCCTTAAATTCCCTAGTTTTTTGGCAACTTTTTAGAGAAAAACAGTTTCAGAAATATCATTTCTGGAATGCAAAGCAACAATTATGATCTTTCGACATTGTGACTGACTGCACAATTAAAATTTTAAATATAAAATTGAATGTTATCAACATATAGTTGGCTCTTAAAAGAACCTTTTTTATAAATTAAAATATGTTTTAAAAGGTTAAAATGAAATCGAGAATATTAGTGTCAATGCAACAGTTGTAACGATTTGTCTGCAAACATTATTAGCGATTGTAAGATGATGTGTGATTGGTTGGCTTATTGGAGAAAAAATAATTTAACAATTTCATTGGATGGAAATACGAAAACATTTAGAAAATGAGTGTGAAATAAAATCTATTATTATTAAATTATGACCAAATAATTTTTGGAGAACTTAATAAAATAAAAAGGAGAGTAAAACATTTCGTCAAAAAAAAATAACATTGGGATGAGCTTGAACAATAAACAGATTTGGCCCACATACAAGAAAACAACAACAAAAAATGCTTTCATAAAAAGGGCCAATTATCCGAACCCCTTCTTCCACCCCCACCTTTTATTAATTGCATAGTTTCCAAACGTTTAGCAACTGTGGGAGAGATTAACAGGGTTGTAATGGAGTAAGCTTTGATGCAAGTAGGGTATTGCTAAGTTGATGATATTTCAACTGTTTAGCTATAAATTTTCCTCTAAAAAAATTGGGTATAATTGATAGTAAAATTAAGAAAGTCGGAGAAAAAATTCCTCGATTTTTCCAGGTAGGTGGCCACCCTGCTATTTTACAATAAATTTCGAAGTAATACCAAAATTATTTTTACATAAAGCAGCTTCTGGTACAGTGTCATTTCTATAACTACTAAATCAAGTTTGCTTTATAATTATAATGCTATGCTAAATTAATACATATTGTTAAATGCAAAGCAAATTTTAAATTTTTTAAAGGTTCATCGACGACTAGAAGAAGTAGTTTTGGTTTACTTGAACCACTATTGTCTGTATCAAGGTTGGATCATACATTCACCAATCATGTGAGAACTATGAAATATTCACAAAGAAGAGGTTCTCTGCCAACAGATTTGTATCAACCACTTGAATCTAGTTATTTATTAGAACATAGCTCTAGCGATCTTCTAAGTGTACTTATTGGACCTTCCGGCGTGCTCAATACAATGCAGGGTATTGTTAGAACATTTTCTCCACAAGAATGCGCAAGAAGAAAGTCTGGTGGTTTAGAAATGTTAAGTGGGTTTTGGAAATCACGGACAAATGATGTAGGATTAGTTAATAAATTGACTTTGAGAAATCAATTACTTGATGCTCGGTCCTCTTATAGGACAGGTGGTGAAAATACTGATACAACTTTCAGTCAACGAAGAGGTTCTGTTCCTCTTACATTATTAGGTAAGTGAACAAGAACAAAATTAGTGCATGTAAATGTTGGAATCAATAAATATCTTTTCTTTGTACAAGCTTTATTTTATTCAATTGTAATTCATTCTTCATAGCTTCATTAAATGTGATTTATACTATATTTTTTACTAAAAGGTGCATTTTGTTCAACTGACAGATTGCTACTGGATACAGTCAAATAATAAACTGGAGAAATGCCATTTAGTTTTACCTTTTGATTAAAAGAAACTCATCATTTTAAACGGTTTTACTAATATTACTTAATTTGGCATGGTTAACAACATATAAAAATTATCATATTAAATCATCCCATTTCCGAAATGATTTAAAAAATATAGGCATATTTATTAAGAGAAAACTTTTAATAAAATTTTTTTACATAATACTATGGGTTTCTTCAATGCTTATTTTTATTATATTGAATAATGTGTTAAAAACAGAATACCATTTTCCTTTGCTAAAAAACGAACCAATAGATGGCGCCACGAGATTTAGAACTCTCTAAGAACAACAATTTTTTAGTTAGTTTGATTATGTTACTGTCGTTGGAGAGATCATGTTTTTTTTTTTGTAGTGTTTAGTGCTGTTAATATACATATGTTAACCATTTCGTAGGAGTACTTTTATTGAGTTTGTGGTCACTGATTTGATTTGTTTAGGTACGTACCGACCCGGGTAGAAGAACAAGGTAAGAAACCCTTTTGTTGATACCTGTTCTATTGAAGTAGATAAAGAAATAAGTTATCTTTTTTAACATGGCATCCCAGCCGGCACTATCGGTTCGTATTTTAATAAAATAAGAACTATTATTATAAATTGAAAATAATGGAACTGAAAATACTGTGGATAATAATAGCTCTAAAATGGCCACAAACATTGAGCTCCTTAAAAAGAAACGTACTACGTTAAGAACATCAATTACTAAGCTAATTTCAAATATAGAATCAGAAATTCAAAAAAAACGAAATAACTGATGAAGAAACCGAAATTGATCTAATTATTGAACAATTAAATGATAAATTTGAGTCTCTCAAAACAGTTGATTCTGAATTAGAAAATCTGTTTAAACCAGATGATTTAGATAAAGAATTAGAAACTGCAGAAGAATATCGTGAAAAGATAGTAACATGGAGATTTAAAGCTAATAAATATTCGCGTAATTTGAATCAAAAGAAAAATATTCGGGAACCTCTCAATTTTCCCCAACATATAGCTCCTACTACTAATCGCGAAGTGGAAGTAGAAACGAAACCAAAAATGCTGAATATTAAATTACCGAAGATAGTAATCCCGAAATTTTCGGGAAATATAAGTGATTGGCTCACTTTCTGGAACTCTTTCAAAACATCGATACATAAGAACAAATCGTTAGATGATGTCAGTAAATTTAACTATTTAAAAGCTCATCTATGTGGAACAGCTTTAGAAACGATAGGAGGTTTTGCTATTTCCTCAGAAAATTATGTTAAAGCTATTGATTTGCTAGAACAGCGCTTCGGAAGAAAAGAAACATTGATAAACAACCACATGAGTCAATTATTAGAAATTACCCCTTTAAAGCGTTCTGGTGATGTAAAAAATTTTCGGCAATTATTTGATAAAATACAAATCCATATAAGAAGTTTAGAATCGTTAGGTATTTCATCAGATACTTTTAGTACTTTATTATCCCCCGTAATACTTAAGTCAATCCCAAACGATTTAATATTTGAATTTAATAAAGAATTCGGAGAAAAATATTCTTTAACTGATTTGATTAATTTTTTGAATAAGCAGTTGATAGCTAAAGAAAAGACTGATTTAATGAGAGTGAAAGAAAAACAAAATTCGCCGCCGTATCCGAATATTAATTGGCGCCACAACCAAAGGGGGGAGCGGGAAGTGAAATATGATCGCGAAAGAAATCCTACTGCCAATGAATTATTTGTTTATGATTCTACTTCTAAAGCAAGGTCGTGTCCATTTTGCGGTGAGTTAAATTGTTCTGGTTTAAATTGTGAATATGGAAAAAGTTTATCTTTAGATAAAAGAAAATCGATTTTATTAAAAAAGGGCATTTGTTTTAGATGTCTTGGGAAAAATCACATGAGCTCAATGTGCAGGGCAAAGGTTAAATGCTCTCATTGCAATAAAAGACACGTTGAAATTATGTGTTTTCAGGATAATAAATATTCAAAAAATGAAAATAAAGAAATAATAGAAAATACTACACTTTCGAATAATAACTGTTTGCGGGAAGTTTATCTTCAAACTTTAATAGTATACATTAAAGAAAATAATTTGAAACAGTTAATAAGGGTAATAATCGATCAAGGTAGTCAGAGATCGTACATCACAAAATTTGTAACGGGAAAAATGTCTTTAAAAGGGTTCGGGAAAGAATCCGTGAATCATGGATTATTCGGTGGAATTGAACATACTGAAATGCATCAAAAATATTGTCTAAACTTATCAAATGTTGATGGAAGCTATAATTGTGAGTTAGAGGTTTTAGATGAGAAAAAAAATTTGTGCTTCCTTACCCAAAATGAATGATGCATATTGTTTAAACGAATTAAAAGATCTGGATATTTATATTAGTGATACGATGATTAATGATAGGTCCTGTTTATATGAAAGACATTCTGGCGAGATTCATTTGCTCATTGGAGCTGACTACGCTGGAAAGATATTGACGGGAAAAGTAAAACACCTTAAGGGAGGTTTGGTTGCTGTACACACTTTGTTAGGGTGGACAGTAATGGGTAAATCTAAGGTAGAGGGAACATCTACAACTAGCTCAATGTTAGTATTGTCATTGCATGTAAATAATGCAAAAATTGAAGATCTCTGGAATTTAGATACATTGGGTATTAAAGATGGCAGTGAAGAACGCTCTAAAACACAGACCCAAGAACTTGCTTTGAAACATTTCAGAGAAACGGTTAGTAGAGACAGTACGGGCAGATATACGGTTAATTTACCCTGATTAGATGGTCATCCTCCTTTACCCGATAATAAAGAGTTGACTTATAAAAGACTAAGATACACAGTTAAATCCCTTAAATCAGCGAATCGGTTAAATGGTTATCAAGAGGTTTTTAACCAATGGGAAAAGGAAGGTATAATAGAGCAAGTTAATGAGGGTAATGATTATTCTAAAAGCTTTGGAATACATTATTTGTCACATAGAACAATTTTTAAACATAATTCAACCACTAAAGAACGTCCTGTTTTTGACGGATCAGCTAAAACCAAAAACTCCGTATCAATAAATGAAGGAAATGAACTCATAGAAAAGGGCCCAAATCTCATAGAAATTATCCCAGCTGTATTAAATAGGTTTAGATGGGGAAAGATCGTAGTAATATCGGATGTCAAACAGGCATTTTTACAAATATCTCTTAACGAATCTGATAAGGATTGCTTACGATTCATGTGGTTGAAAGACGGAGATCCTCAAAAGATAATTACATATAGACATTGTAGAGTAGTATTCGGAATATCATGTAGCCCCTTCTTACTTGCGGCTGTTCTGAATCATGTATTAGATCAGGTAGAAGAGCCATTGAAAAGTCTTGCAGTGAAGATCAAAGACTCTATGTATGTTGATAATTGCATTGCAAGTGTAGACTCAGTTTCAGAATTGGAACATTTTAGATCTGAATCTCAGAGAATTCTGAAAGCTGCTAAATTTGATTTACGTGGCTGGGAAAATAACAACCTACTTGAGATGAACGAATTAGTGCAATATAATTCCAACTGTGAAAAGGAAGTGTTAATATTAGGCCTAAAATGGGACAAACAAAATGACACTTTATCCTGTCAGTTGGTTAAAGAAGAAAACAATAGTGAACCAGTTACCAAGAGAAAACTCCTATCTATGGCACACCAGCTGTTCGGTCCTATAGGGTTCACTTGTCCTATAACGTTGGTCCCGAAACTTCTTCTACAAGAATGCTGGAAGATTAGAATTTCTTGGGATTCAAAATTGTCCGAAGAAATAATTAAAAGATTCGAAAAATGGAAAGAAGAATTAAAAGAATTGAGCAACTTCAAAATTCCTCGTAGACTTTCAAGCTTAAATCTTTCTAAATCAAGCTTAACACTTCACACCTTTTGTGACGCTTCCATGGTGGCATATGCGACTTGCCTCTTTTTGAGGGCGGAAAGGGATGGAAAAGTTATTTGCCAACTTATTCAAGCAAGATCTAGAGTTGCCCCATTGAAAAAAGTGTCGATACCAAGATTAGAATTACTTGCATGTAACATTGGAGCTAGATTGGCTGATACAGTAAAAAGGGATTTAAGATTGGAAGATATTAAAACATTTTTTTGGAGCGACTCCATGAACGCACTTTATTGGATAAGGAAAGAAGGCCCTTGGACGATTTTCGTATCNCGACAGCGATTATCAAACAGATGAACTTAAAAATTATATCCCTTACTCAGTCCCTGTGTATGACCCTACGAAGTTAAAGATCGTTAGTAGGGGTTTCGGCTCACCGAGGGGCGTTGGCTACGAGTTCTACACCGATGGCAGTAAGAAACAGGTGCTAATGAAGATCGGGTGGGTTGTGGTTTCTTGGTGAGACTGGATAACCATACTATTTCCGAACAGACCGCACGTTTAAATAATGAGTGGAGATTGGCTACCCTTTGGGCAAACAATAACAATATTGAACAATACACCATCTTTTCTTACTAAAAGTCCTCGTTGCAGGCCCTTGAAAACCCAACCCCAACAAACCCCCTTGTAGAAGAAATTAAGGCAATTGTCCAAAACAAACAATGCTTATTCAATTGGATTAAAGCCCACTCGGGGGAGCCTGGCAACGAGGAAGCAGATATTTTAGCCAAAAAGGGCACCTTATTAGGCGGGGTGGACTTTCACTACACCATAACAAAACCCTAGGTCAAACATAGACAGAGGCAGGTCAGTAGGATTTTATGGCAGGACAGGTGGCGCAGCTCTGCAAAAGGGAGACACGAATACTATTTGATACCTACAGGTAACGAACGTTTTTTATCCAGCGATTTTTACTTTATTCAGTTCTTAATTTCCCATGGTGTATTT